TAAATAAATAAATAAATAAATAAATAAATAAGCTGCAATCCTGCAATTTCTGTCATTCACAAATAATGAAGCTTAAAAAAAAAATAACAAACAGAAGGTGCAGCACGGTGGCCTAGTGGCTAAAGCCCTTGCCTTGAATGCACCGGGATCCCATATGGGCGCTGGTTCTAGTCCCCGCGGCTCCACTTCCCATCCAACTCCCTGCCTGTGGCCTGGGAAAGCAGTCAAGGATCAGTGCAGCACTAGCCACTGTGGTCACTTGGGGAGTGAATCATTGGAATGAAGATCTTCTTCTCTGTCTCTCCTCCTCCTCCACGTCTGCCTTTCTACTAAAAATAAAATAAATCTTAAAAACAAAAAAAAAAACCCAAAAACAAACAAAAAACAAAGGAATGGGGAGATGATGGTCAAAGGGTAAAATATAAATCTCAGTAAGATGCATTTTTATTTGAACATTTGAAAGGTAGTTACATCCTAAAATGGTTACAATAGCTAGGGGTTGAGCCAGGACAAAGCCAGGAATTTGGGAGCTTCTGGTCTCACACACACGGTGGCAGGGGTCTGAGTGTGTGTTTTGGTCATCATCTGCTTTCCCAGGTGCATGGGCAGGGAGCAGGAGTGGAAGTGGAGCAGCCAGCACTTGAATTGGCACCCACCTCTAACATTGGCATTGCAGGCAACAGCTTCAAAGTTAAAATCACAAGACTGGCCCCTCTTGTCCCCCCACCACTTCCAAAGGTTTGTCATTTCTTTGAAAGGTCAGACTTGCAGAGAGACAGAGACAGAGAGGGGTGGGGGGACGGGTTCCTTCAATCTGCTAGTTCAGCCCCAAGATGGCCACATCCCAGCTGGTGCAGGCCAGAGGAGGGCTGAAGCACCCGGGCCATCCTTCACTGCCCCACTGGCTGGGTCAGCAGGGAGGGGCCAGGCATTAACCTGCGCTCATACGGACGCTGGCTTAACCTACAGCACCAAAATGCAAGCACTGACGAGAGATTGCACAGCATTATGGACACAGTAGTGCACTGTCTATTCAAAATTTAGACCTTTTGAATGCTCTCACCTTAAAAAAATGAGGCAGTCCAGAAAAATAAATTTTTAAAAGATTTATTAATTATTATTATTATTGGAAAGTCAGATATACAGCGAGGACGAAAGAGAGAGGAAGAGCTTCCATCCGATGATTCACTCCCCAAGTGACCACAACGGCCGGTGCTGTGCCAATCCGAAGCCAGGAGCCAGGAACTTCCTCCATGTCTCCCACGTGAGTGCAGGTTCCCAAAGCTTTGGGCCGTCCTCGACTGCTTTCCCAGGCCACAAGCAGGGAGCTGGATGGGAAGTGGAGCAGCTGGAACACAAACTGGTACCCATAGGGATCCCGGGCATGTGCAAGGCAAAGTTTTAGCCACTAGGCCATCACACTGGACCCAAATTTATCTTTTAATTCCACTCTTCTATGAACTTTCTGAAGCAACTTTGATTAGATATATGCAATGAATAAGATCATACACTGCATTCAAAAATCATCACTGTATTCTTTATATAATTAGAAACTGTCCATGTTAATAAGCATATATAAAAAGATTTATTTTTATTTGAAAGGCAGTTACACAGTAAGGATACAGAGAGCTCTTCTATCTGCTAACCTGCTCCCCAAATGGTCACAACTGTTGGAGTTGGGCGGGCCAAAGAGAGCAGCTAGGAGCTACTCTTGGGCCTTCCAAAAACCTGGATTGGAAATGGAGCAGCCAGGACTGTGACCGGTACCCACATGGAATGCTAGCATATCAGGTAGAGGCTGGCCTGTAGAAACTTCCCACTTATAGAAAAAAATGGACACCAAAATTCAGTGTCTTGGGACAGCTGTTTAGCCTGATTAAGACATCAGCTGCATTCAGTGGACAGCATATTCAGATGCACATGGAAGATATGGCAGTCTATCGGAACCTGCAGAGGACACCTGGTACCACAGCAGAGGACAGAACAACTCAACCAACTACCCCCAGCCATGTATTGGCAGTGAAAATCTGGGCAAACAGAGACTCCAAGGTGGACTATGTCAATCAGTGGATTGTGCAGCAATTTCATCGTGCTTGGAATGGCAAAATTGGCAGCAATTCATAACTGCTGAATTATCAAAACCAATTGAGCAGGACCCTCAGAGCATGCCCCATCAGGGACCTTGGATGGGTGGGAGGCTGGGTGGGGCTTCTTTATCTCCCCCTTTACCCAAGATACAGAGAAAAAAAAAAGCAATAATGTAGAAACAATAGTCTTACCCACTTTCCTGTAGCCCTTGACCATTTGTGTCCCAATCAACTACATAAAGATTGTCAAAAATAAAGAAAAAAAAAAAAAAAGACATCAGCTGCATCTGTATTATAGCACCAGGACTTGAGACTCAGCTGTGCTGATACTCAGGGAGGCAGCAACAGGTCAGATACTTGGCGCCCCGTTACCCAAAGGGGAAATCAGGTTCCTTATTCCCAGCTTTGGGCTGACCCAGTCTGTTACTGAGGGCACTTGGTGGTGAACGTGCAAATGGGAGCTCATAGAGGAAGGGAGTGCTGACATATTTTACACTGACAAGCCCTAAGGGCATCATGCTAAAATGTACCCAAGCCTCTCTCACACATAAGCATTTTACAATTCCATTTCAATCACAGAAAGCAGCACCATGGTTGTCAGAGGTGAATGCAGTGTTTAACAGGATAGAGTTTTAGTCTTACAAGATTGGTTGTACAACATGAATACACTCAACTCTCCAAGCTGCACTTAACAATGATTAAGATGATGCGAGACCTGCACTCATGTGGGAGACCTGGAATAGGTCTGGGCTCCTGGCTTCGGACCGGCACAGCTCCAGCCGCTGAGGTCACTTGAGGAGTGAATCAATGGAAGATCTTTCTCTTGGTCTCTCCTCCTCTCTGTAAATCTATCTTTTCAATAAAAACAAATAAATCCAGGACACACGGGTGCTGTCTGTAAGTCTTACCCAGGACTTCCTGATTCAAGTTAGCCCTCCTTAATTCTGGAACTGATGACAAATGTGATCCAAGGTGTGCCACTGCCAAACAAAATCCTGGTACTCCTCAGCTTTGTTCTTTCTCCCTTCCTGCAGGAGGCCCAGTCAGCTCTCTTTTCTTTCAGAGCCCGGTTCTTTAGTCCTCCTACCCCTCTTCAAGAAAGTTAAAGTGCGGTGTGCAAGACCCCCTCAGACACCAACAGCCATTCCACAGAAATAACTGCTCACACACCCAGGGCTGCAAGAGCCTTCCAGCTGCACGTATTAGAGCCTTAATGAGGCAGACAGCAACGCCTCCTCCAACACAAACCACGGTTACAAGAAAAGGATCGATGGATTATGGAAAACTGCAACTTGAAAAAAACACCGCAGGCTCCAACAAAGCAGGAAGGCAGAGATTCCTAAGCTCAGAGCTCATTTGTAAGTTCGCTGGTCCTCATTTCTCACTACCATCGTTTGCTGTCAAAAATAGAAACTTCCATGTCTTGATCCATTCAGAGGCAAGCCCAGCAGGCAGAGAGGGCAGCTGGGTCGGGAGGGACGCACAGGGAAATGGAAAAGGCAGCCGGCAGGCTTCCTTCAGGATGACTGCGCTCCGGCTTTTATCCTTCTTCCCAGCTACTGGCGCGCCAAGCAAGCTGCAGGGAGTCTTCCCAGCAGCAGGGTGGAAGTGCTCGTGGGCTGTGACGCCCTCTCCTGCTCACCAGGATCTCTGCATGATGTGGCTGCATTCAAGAATCTCAGACTCAAACGCGTGCAGAGAACTGAAGCTGTCTTCACCGAAAAGGCCCAGGAACAGAGGACTCCAGCTGGACTGCAAAGCTCCAGGCCGGACCCCGACACTCATTCACACAGGCTCTCTGTGCTGGAGTTTGCTTTACTCAGTTTAACGAAGTTTCCATCTCCCTTATATGCCAAGCAGAAGAGCGGAAGCTGGAATTCCTGTCCTTCCTCACCCACCACTGACGCCACCTTTCAAGATCCAAACAGCACACAGCATTAAAGCTATGCTTCCCATTTTGTTTCATTGTATTTATTCAACTTTGCATCTAACAGCAGATGTTTAATAACTCTTAAGAGTCTCTAAAATACAGGTAGAAGGGAGGTCTGTCCACTTAATGAAACTCAATCACTGTGACAGAAGCAAAATCCTTAACAGTAAGAGGTGTATTTCTGCAAGACTATCATTTCCACTGTGCTCCTTCTCAGATGCCCAGTGTCACCAAGACATTTCACTCTTTGCTGCTCCAGACACTTCACTCTTTGCCTGTGCTCAAGTACTCCCATTCCCAGGGAGACAATTTGGTGTCATGGTAATGAAGCCACATGGGGACACCTGAATCGCACAGCAGAGTGCATGGCTTTAAGTCCTGGCTCTGCTCCCAATCCCAGCTTCCTGCTCCTACACGAGGCAGGACACAAAGGGCTCTGGCATCCATCACAGGGACTCTCATGGACTGTGTTTCCACACAGCCTAGCCTGACTGTCGCGCAAACTGGGGGAGTGAACCAATAGCTACTTCTCAAGTAAACATCTCTGTGGCAAAAGAGACATTAAAAAAACAAAACAAAATAAAAAACAAAAAACAAAAGACCTTCTAATTAAACTGACAAAACTCACAGAGATCTCACCGAGACTCCATGATATGGAGAACATACTGGGCCACTCCCAATCTCATGGAGAACATACTGGGCCATTCCCAATCTCATGGAGAGCATACTGGGCCATTCCCAATCGTATGGTTAAGCTCCCCATGTCTCAGCAACCAGCACCAGCATGAGGAAAGCGCCCACGAATACAGTAACCCTTGCCCTTCCCGTCTGCCATCCAATACTGGAAGCTTACCTTCCCAATGTCCCACTCGGCCTCAGGCTCCTATTAGTCCACACTCAGAGCAGCAAGCTGCTGCCCCCAGCAATTTAAAAGCAAACACTAACAGCAAACAGGAAACTTTCTCTGACCACAGGACAGAAAGCAACAGTGTAAAATTTTTAATATAAATCAGAACATTATGAACAAGTTTTTCAGAATTATATTCCCAATAAAAGGACACCTAACAAACAAAAACACAGCACTGCCCTCTCAACAATTTCTCACTTCATTCATCATTTCTAGTTGGAGACACTTTGTAGCAAAGTAATATTATCTCCTTTTAGCATGATCCGACCTGCAAAAAAACAAAAACAAAAACAAAAACTGTTAGCAGTTCTACGCTCCTACCAATCATCGGGCAGCCGCAGAGTTTGCATACAGCTGTTCGACAATATTTTGAAAATGCTTCTTCCAGTGAAAGCATATGTCCATACACTGAAAGGCCCTCGAGCCCCATTAGCACCGATGAACTTCCAGCAACTGACAGAAGTACCATTTCTATAGACTAACTCAACTGACTGGGCCTAACCTCACATTTACCAATATTGGATCGGTAAATGCTTAGAAATGAGTTGAAATGTCAAGTCTGGGAAATGTAGCATATTATAATCCCATTCTTTGAATTCCTGGCTTGTTTAAAAATACTAACTTTCAAAACCCAAATGTTTAAATTTTACCCAGTACTTTAAAAAGTATATTGATCATGGCTATAAAGATCAGGATTGAGAAAGGCCCAAGTCAGGAGCCCAGAACTCCAACTAGCCCCTGTGTAGTGGCGGGAACCAGACTGGAAACACAGCTGCCAGGATTCAAACCAGTACTCCGATTTGGGAAGCCAGCAATCTGAGTGGTGGTTTGACCCTCTGTACCACAAGCCTGGCCCTTCACCTAGTACTACCTAAACTTATTTGAGAAGAAATTTTCCTTTCTGAGAAATATCCATAAACATCTCAGGACACTGGCAAACATTTTAGAACTGCTGATCAACCTTCAGTGATGAAAATGACTTTCCTGGGCTTCTACAGGCGCTATGAGTGTGTTCCACTGGACAGACACTACCACAGGAATTTAACACTTGGCAAATTATTTACAAATAATATGACCTCAAGAAGATTGGCTTGCCCATCTTTTGTCAGGACAAAAACCTTTAAAAATAAGTTTCCTTAAAACGAGCTTAAAGAGGAACACTTCTCAGGATCTACTTTCCATGTATTCAGTAGAGATTCAAGAAAATTCTCAAGGTCTGGCAGAGAAACCTGAGCTCCACTAATGAGGATTCAGTGAACTGTGAACCCAGCAATGAACAAAGACAAAATGCCAAATTAATGTCATGGCAATGGCCTGTCAGAAGTCACTTGGTGTCTGTAGGTAAAACCATTACGTCACCAGGACTGCACTAACCGGGTTAAGAAACTGCATTCCTTATTTGAGTACTTCCGTGTTTCTATCATTTGTCAGGTTCTGAGTTAGGACAAGACTCAGGCACTTACGGGGAATCTGGTCAACTGTGAGCCAGTAATAAAATAATGCCACTAATGAAGGCTTTACCAGACTCAGAGAACACACGATACCCTGCCCCAAGCAAAACCAAACTCAGCCCAGGTGCCTTAGAAGAAGTAATTTTCGTGCTTGCTTTGGCAGCACATATACTAGAGTTGGAATGAGGAAGTACTTTTCACCTGAGTCCTAAAGACACAAAAGAGCATACACAGCAAGTCATGGTGAGACAAGTGTACAGATTCAAAGAACTGAGCACAGAAAAACGCAGCAGACAACGGTGTAGGACACGCAGGAGGAGGGATCAGGCTGTCACACAGAACTCCGCAGAGTAAGACAATCAGAAACACAGGTGAGAGGGAGACATCAAGAGATCGTCCATCTACTGGTTCACTCCCCCAAACGGCCTCAGCAGGAGCAGACAGGCCAGGATGAGGCTAGGATTACGCCATTCAGGTACCCCACATGGGTGACAGGGATCAAATGCTTGGGCATTTCTCTAGTGTATCAGCAGAGAGCCAGCTGGGAAGTAGAGCAGCTGGGACTCAAACCCTGGCACTTCAAGCAAGGCCAGTGTCCCAAGCAGCACCCACTGTGATGTGATGTCAGCCCCTAAGTTGGATGATAACACTAGTCTTCTCAAATGATAGAAGCCTGCAGAGCAACTTGAGAATTGACTCTAAGAACTGAGTGGGAACAGGCCTGGCATGATGGCTCAATGGATAAATCCTTGCCTTGCACACGCTGGGATCCCATATAGGCACTGGTTCTAGTCCCAGCAGCCCCGCTTCCCATCCAGCTCCCTGTTTATGGCCTGGGAAAAGCAGTCAAGGAGGCCCAAAGCCTTCGGACCCTGCACCCACATGGGGAACCCAGAGAGAGCTCTTGACTCCTGGCTTCATATCTGCTCAGTTTCAGCAGTTGCGGCCACTTGAGGAGTGAACCAGTGGACAGAAGATCTTTCTGTCTCTCCTTCTCTCTGTAAATCTGTCTTTCCAATTAAAAAAAAAGAATTGAGTAGGAAACAAGTTTAATTTCTGTAGGCCGACTCTGACAAACTTGAGACTTTTTCATGTAGAAACTACGAGTAGATTTAAGGGACTGCTCTGAAATGGCTGGACATAGTTTTGGAAGTTAATGTACAGACGGTGATTCCAGCTGTCCCTGAGTGATCAGGAAAACAATACTGTCAGGAGGGCCTGGAGCAACTCGGCCAGCCAGTGCCTGAATGCTGAAGAACATGTACAAGTCTCAATGGGGATAACCAGAGGGGCCAGTGCTGTGACCAGCTTCACACACCTGGCTGGCTGTTCTACTTCTGATGCAGCTCCTCACTAACGGCCTGGGAAAGCAGCGAGAGATGGCTCAAGGACTTGGGATCCTGCACCCACACAGGAGACCTGGAAGCAGCTTTGGGCACTTGGCTTCATCCTAACTCAGCTTTAGCCACTGCAAACATTTGGGGAGTGAACAAGTGAAGGGAAGATCTCTCTCTCTCTCTAATTCTGCCTTTTTCAAATAGAGGAGGGAGAAAAAAATTTAAATAAAGAAATCAATCTTAATAAGAAAAAGCAAAGATGAAAATGGAAGCTCTTGTATCACAGAGCAAACACAGTTACAGAAAGGATCTCTCATCCACTGAGAACACAGTGTTTTAAGGAAGGTGTGAGGTTAGAATGGCTGCTATCAAAAAGACAAAAAAAGCAGCAAATGCTGCAAAAGAGGTGCAGAAAACAGAACTCAAACATTTTGTGAAAGCAGTGAGAGTGACAGACAGAGGAAACGAGAGGTGTGTTCCATCTACTGGTTCCGACCCCAATGGCCTCAGCAGTCAGCTCTGGATACCCTCGTGTTTTTTTTTTTAAGATTTATTTTATTTTTACTGGAAAGGCGGATATACAGAGAGGAAGATCTTCCGTCCAATGATTCACTCCCCAAGTGAGCACAACGGCCGATGCTATGCCAATCCGAAGCCAGGAGCCTCTTCTGGGTCTCCCAAGCGGGCGCAGGGTCCCAAAGCTTTGGGCCGTCCTCGACTGCTTTCCCGGGCCACAGGCGGGGAGCTGGATGGGAAGCGGGGCTGCTGGGATTAGGACCGGCACCCATATGGGATCCCGGGCGTGCAAGGCGAGGACCTTAACCACTGCGCCACCGCGCCGGGCCCATGGATACCCTGGTTTCTCACAGGTGTGAGTGGCGTCCAAGCAGGCCTTTGGCTGTCTTCGTAAGCACCCGGGAACAAAGCCAGATTGGAACAGAGTAGCTGGAACTCAAAACCAGCACTCCAAAATGGGATACCACTAAGTAGGCAGTGCCTTGATCCACTATGCCACAGGGCCAGTCCCCAAGAGAACTCACACTGATGGCAGCTGGCACAGAAGAGAGGTTCCCCTAACTACTACACAGACACGTATCACCCCACACAGCCATCCCATTTTAAAGGGAATGAGACCAAGCTAGTTCCCCACAAATATTAATTGCGTGACCAGAAATACCTGTGTTTCTTTCCAGTCACTACAGCATGGAATTAAAGCAGATGCTGAGGCCGGAGCTGTGGTGCAGCGAGTTTAGCTTGTCTGCTGTGGAGGCATCCCCAATGGGCCCCAGTTTGAGTCCCACCCGGCTCCACTTCCAACCCAACTCCCTGTCAATGTTCCAGGAAATCAGCCGAGGATGGCCCAAGTTCTGGGGCACCTGCATCCATGTGGGAGACCCAGAAGAAAGTTCTGGCTACAAACCACTGAGGCCATGTGCAGAGGGAATCACTGAATGGAAGTCTGTCTCTCCTTCTCCATACAATCCTGTTTTTCAAATAAAAGTAAACCAAAGTCATTTCAAAAAAAAGTAGTTACTGGCACCGTAACCTAGTAGCTAAGGTCTTGCCTTGCATGCACTGGAATACCATATGGGCACCAATCCTGATCCTGTCCACTCTACTTCCCTTCCAGCTCCCTGCTTGTGGCCTGGGAAAGCAGTCGAGGACGGCCTAAAGCCTTGGGACCCTGCACCCATGTGGAAGACCCGGAAGAGGTTCCTGGTTCCCGGCTTCGGATCAGCGCAGCTCTGGCCGTTGGGGTTGTTTGGGGAGTGAATCATCGGATGGAAGATCTTCCTCTCTGTCTCTCCTCCTCTCTGTATATCTGACTTTCCAATAAATAAATCTTTAAAAATAAATAAATAAATAAATAAATAAAATAAATGTTAGGGGGTGGCATTGTGGCACAGTGAGCTAGTTATGCTGTGGCCCAGGATGCCTGCATCCCGTATGGGCACTGCTTCTAGTCTGGCTGCTCCAGTTGTGACCCACAGCTTCCTGTTAATGTGCCTGGGAAAGCAGCACAAGATGGTCCAAATACCTGGGCACCTGCCACTCACGCAGGAGACTCAGATCAAATCCTGGGCCCCTGGCTTCAGCCTGGCCTTGCCTTTGGCTGTTGTGAGCAGCTGCAGAGGGAATGAGCAGACAGAAGATCTGTCTGCCTACCTTTTGAATAAATAAAGAAATTTTAAGAAGAGATGGAAATGCCAATTACCTCGACCCGACCAGCATATTCTGTATACCCATGCTGAAACTACAGTGTATCAGGCAGTAGCTGTGAAACAAAACCTCCAACTGCAACATCAGTAGCCCATGTGGGCGCTAGTTCAAGTCCCAGTGCTCCACTTCCAATTAGGCTCCCTGCTAATGCCCTGGGAGAGCAGTGGCCAGCCCAGGTGGTTGGGCTCCCCCTGGCCACACTGGGAGACTGGGATGGGGCTGCTGACTGTTCCAGGCTTGTCCAGTCACAGCCATGTGGCCATCTTGGGAATCAATCAGGGGATCGAAGATATTCTTCTCTCTGATTCTTTCAGAACAAACTTACAAATGTATCCCATAAATGTATATTTGTTCCACTTTTTTAAAAAGCAGGTGGCCAATGGTTCCGAACACTTTTTAGAGTAAAATAAAGACATTCTGACCATCATATTTCAAAGCATATATTTCTCCTGATAGCAATTTTTATTTACTTATTTACTTCAGAGGCAGAAAGAGGCAGAGCGCTCCTGTCTACTGTTCACTCTTCAAACGCCTGCAGCAGCAGGGCCTGGGCCAGGCCAGAGCCAGCAGCTGGAAACTCACACTGCTGCCTCACAGATGCCCAGCAGCAGGAAGCTAGAACCCGCATCCAGGAATGCCAACGTAGGATGCACGTGCCCCAACCAGTGGCCTAACTGCTCAGCCCTATGTTTGTCCTTCCCATCAGATTTACGATCCCCAGAGCTATTGGGGTGAAGAAATGGGGAAATGACATGGTTAAATAAGAAGTAAGGGACAAGAAAAAAAAAAGGCAAGGGGCAGGGTGTCCTGCCCTTCTCACAACTTCTCCAGCGCACACACACTTAAACACACACAGCTGGAGTTCATTCAATCCTGCAGGCAAATACACAGTTCTAGAACTCCATAAAAATGCCAAGAACTTACCCAGTTGTTTCCTTGATTTTGTTTTAGAATGAATCTCTTCTGCATCATCTAATACGAGGTTCATGTATTCATCAAAGCCCTAAAATATATCAGCTGACAGTCACTTTCAGGTGAAATCACAGCCCAGCCATTGTATGCACGTGCAGAAGTCCCAGGACGAGAAATCCCATTCCCCTTCCTGGAAAACAAGCCCAGAAAGTAGCCCCAACTCGTGCTTCCCTGTTTGGATGCAGGACTCGTTAGACAGGGTAGCCACGCTCCCCTCCGGACCCTTCATAAGCCAAGACGTGAGGGGTGCACAGGGTCACCTCAGGCTGTCCATGCTCTTCCCAGCAAATGTGCTCTGACTGCAGTGCCAGGCACACTTCACCTCTCCAGCTCACTGCTCTCCTGGGAGGCGAACTAGGGCCCCCCCAGCTTTACTCAGGTGTCACCTAAACCAGGATGAATACAGCACTAATTCCTATCCCTCCAGCCCCGCAGAAGACTCCAGTATTACTTAAATGATCATAAAGCTCGGTTTTCTTCCTGATTTAACCCTCATCAACGGAAACAACGAGAAAACCTCACAGTGGGCCCTGAAAACCTTTGCCTGGCTTGGGCCGTGGCTGTCACTCCCCGGGAGCCACTGGGTACTCACAATGATGCAGCCCTCTATCCGCATGTTCACCTGCTCATACAGCCACACCTGAATGCGAGACCTCTGAAACGATCACGGAACAGAACGTTAACACCACACGACCCACTCACCACGCCCCAAAAGCGGGGCTCTAGCGAACATGGGCGAAGCTGCAGCTAAGCGGCCAACACCTCAGGACGGTCCCCATGCCTGGTCAGGCCGACCCTGTGCTGAGGCACCCCAGGCCCCCAGATCTCCCTCCGCTCTTGAAACTCACACCGTGTTACTGCTTCCAGAGGTTAAACCCGGGACAGCCAAAATCCCAGATCAAGCGCATCGTTACCTGCCAGGCCCTGTTCCCAAACACGGCTTTCTCCAGGTTCTGCATTGAGTGCCACACAGCGAATCAACGCTTTTCAACGTGGCCTCAAACCACCTGCCGCTGACTTCCCTGCGTTCACTCCCGCCCACCACCAGCCCGGGGTTCGGAAAGCGACCTCTGAAGCTTCCCCACGGGGTACCCAACTCCCGGGCTTAGGATGTGGTCTACACTGTCGGGGTTCGCGATCTCTGAAGCTTCCCCACGGGGTACCCATCTCCCAGGCTTAGGACGCGGTCTACACTGGCGGGGATCTCTTTCGCGTGTTTCCCCGGGATCCGGAGGCAGAAATCAGAGCCACGTGCAGGGCCGGGTCACCCCATCCTGCCTGCCGGACACCTCTTCCACCTCCCGGCGCCTAGGGGACGACACCCGCCAACGACTTACGTACATTTTGCAGGTATCTGAAGATGAGGTTCTGCAGCAGAGCGGTTAAGGAGCACACGGAGACACGCACGGCCCACCCGAGCCCGCCCAGCGCAGGGACGCCCCCGTCCCCCCGCCCGGCCCGCGCCCTCCAGCCTCGGGGCTTCGCCCGCGGTAGGATACGATGGGCTGCACCATCACCTTCTGCACTTTCTGGCCCTGGCCCCGGTACGCCATGTCGGAATCTCACAAAGACCACACCGGACGCACTCGGCTCCCGCGCAAGCGACTTCCGGAACTCAGAGCCGGAGGCGGAAGTGCGAGACGGCCCCGCGGCCGTGCCTGGGTCATGCCTCTCTAGCCAGCAAATGGCTTTTTCTCGGTGGTCCGGAGCCTCCAAGGAGGAACGCGCCGGGGAACCGGGGCCGGTCCTGCGGCGCCACCTGGAGGTCGATCGGAGAAGGCGCCCAGGACCTTCGGTCGCAAGCAAGTCTATATTTTGAATGGCCTTTTCTGGGAAAGGTACAGGGGATGGCCAAAGCGCTTGGGTCTCTGCCATCCATTTGGAAATCAAGGATGGAGCTCACAGTGCAAGCTCCTTTGAATAAACAATAAGAAAATTGTTCTTATTTGGCATTTCCATTCCGTCTCAGATGCTTAACTATTTGTATTTGCATTTTCATGTTTATTATAGTCACAATTCTTGAATTTCTGTGAATTACTTATAACCAATCCTTTGATTAATGTAAATCATCACAAGTGCTATGTAATTCCCTTATTTTTGCAATGATTTTTAAAAATGTATTACAGGCATAGAGAGATATCTTCCATCTACTGATTCACACCTACAATGGCTGCAGTAGCCAGGGATAGGCCAGGCAGAAGCCAAGCACTCTCTGGGTCTCCCAGGTGGGAGCCAGCAGCCCAGGACTTGAACTATCATCCACTGCGCCCCATGCACATTGGAAGGAGCCTGGGTCCCACTGGAGCTGATCCTGATCTTGGCATTCTGAGAGGGGACCTGGGTGTCACACAGGGCAGCATAACTCCGTGTACCACAAATCAACCCACTAACTTATTATTATTTTTAAAAGATTTATTTTATTTTTAATGCAAACTCAGACATACAGAGAGGAGGAAAGACAGAGAGGAAGATCTAGGCTACCGTGCTGGCCGTCCCAGTAACATTTCTTTCTTTTATTTATTTATTTTTTAATTTTGAATTTTATGGTACAATTCCATCGGGTCTGGGATTTCCCTACCCCCTCCCCAGATTGCCACCGTTAGCATAGTCCTTCATAAACAGTCCTAAGTCCATCAGTCTGACATTGCTGGTACAGACAATGCCAGACAGTCTAGCATCCTGTTGTCAAGATATATCCAACAGTTCCATTGGAACTCTATGTTTGATTGGAAGTAGAGGTTTATACTGTATTGACCCAATAACATCTTAACTATTACATAAAATCACACCCCTTATAAAAAAAAATATTATCGGGCCCTGCGTGATAGCATAGTGGTTAAAGTCCTCTCCTTGAACACGCCAGAATCCCATATGGGCACCAGTTTTAATCCTATCCAGCTCCGCTTCCCATCAGGCTCCCTGCTTGTGGCCTGGGAAAGCAGTCAAGGATGGCCCAATGCAGTCAAGGTCGGCCCTTCCCCGACATGGGAGACCTGGAAGAAGCTCCTAGTCCTGGCTTCAGATTGGCACAGCTCCAGCTGTTGCAGCCGCTTGAGGAGTGAATCATCAGACGGAAGATCTTCCTCTCTTTCCTCCTCTCTGTATATCTGTCTTTCCAACAAAAATAAATAAATAGATCTTTTTAAAAAATTACTGAAGAACAGAGAGACAGAGAGAACAAGACAGAGGCAGGGGCCAACAGGGAGGGAGAAGTGCTGTAACAGCTGGAGATGGGCAGGCTGGAACCAGCAGCCGGAGCTCCGCCCAGGTCTCTGCTGCCTGCCAGCCGCAGGAGCAGGAAGCTGGCCCAGGAGCAGAGCAGCTTGGTCCCTGTGCCCACGCCAAGGTCCGGCTTGTGGTCATCACACAGGTTTCGTGTTTTATGGAGCTTAGTTCTAGTTCTGTCATCTCTGTTTTTCCTAAAAATTGTGTCTTTACCTCAACTGTATGCTCTAGTTGATTTTAGAAGAGAATATTGACCAAAAAAAATTGTTAGTTTTAAATGGTAAAAAGCGACCATCCTATATAAAGTGAAAAGAGCTAGAAAAAAAAAAGTTTGTACCATGTCAGATAAAATGGCTGATTTTACTAATATGTGACCAAAATGGTGTTCTGATTCTCTACTGCTGGGGTCTGAGTGATGGGTGTGGAAGACAGGAAGGTGTGAAGAGTATCGTTCTATTGCAGGCAAGGCCGCAAGGAACTTCCCGCTGTGTGGCAAGGCCCGGTGGATGTCTCTACAACACCTGAATGCAGCTCTGCCTCCCTTTGCATGGACACTGGACAACCCCATTGAGATTTCTGTAATCTATTTAGGCATTGTCTGCCTCTGCGGAGTTACTGTTAAATATCAATGGGAGCTTAGAAGCTGTTATTGCTGTTAGGGCTGCATCCTGTGGCAATATGCTAATTAAGGGTGCTAACTCCCCTTTTGATCCTATGCTAATCAAGGGAGTTCTGTCTTCAGGTGTAGTGGGAATCTATTCTTTCCCTCTTTCTTTGATCTTTTAGGTCCCTCCTGTGAAGCCCTTCCTTCCTTGACTGTCTCAAGACCTAGCTGTAGAGTAATTGTGGTAGGAATGTGTTAGTGATTGATATGCACCATCTATTGAGAACCTTTTCCTAGCCAGGCGCCAGGTGCCAGGCACCAGGTAAATAACATCCTAGCCTTAGGTGAAACAAATGGCAGAGTTATCTTTAGAAACACCCACTTGACCATGACGTAAAATGTCTGAGCCAGAGTTTGACAGATTTTGTATAAATAAAGCGGACAGCTTTTGTGCATTGTCCATTATGATCATGAAGTCCTAGTGGTCCGTCTCTTTCTTTCTTTGCGCCTCATCCACGCACCCTTCGCGAGTTCTGAACTCAGCTGGAGCTGGACTCCGGCACTCTACTGTGTAAGAAATATTTCCACGTCTAACCCAAAAATCATTTGGTCATAACTCATGCTTTCGTAGGTCAAGTGTTGGAGCCTGCTCTGAGCTGGGCAGCAGCATGTCTGCTCCTGGAGAGCTAAAGCCTTGGCCTGTGTCTGCATAGCAGGACAGTTTGGAGCCCAACCAAGGATCCTTGTCTCTGGCAGGGTGATATGCTTTCTGATACACGGGGCTCAGCCCCTAGGATGCCATCCCTAGGATGCCATGGCCAGTCCCAGCATTGGTAGATGGGAGCTACTATGTTAAAGAGTCTGCAGTCATTTTAAACCTGACATGTTGGTATTGGGTATGATTAATCCATTGGTAGCAAAGGGAACAGGCAGTCTTTTAAACACGAAGATGCCTGACTCCGTTGACTACAACATGAGAACTATACCAATATACATTCCCCCCCATTCCACTGGTAAAATAAACAATAAACACTGGTGTTAATCACTAAACCCCTCTATGCTCCCCAGACTATCCGGGATATATACAATAATCATTGTATCATTGTTTAAAATCCCAAGACAGGAAACAAAATTAGTTAGATTATAGCAAACTGTCATGTAACACTTACCATGATTCAATTTTGAAGGTTTTTCTATCTTTTCCGTGTCTGAATTGCAATGGTTAAGATAGGTAGAGAGACAACAGCAATGATATGCTTGAGAGTCTCAGAGTAACGCAGTGGAGCCAGCAGGGCAGATCTCAGATGAAGTACAGGCATGCCTAAGAATAGGGATTCTTCCTTTTTAAAAATTTATTTATTTGAAGGGATGGGGGAGGGAATTTTCCCTCGCTGGGCTAGGCTGAACCAGGAGCCTGGGACGCCACACAGGTCTTTTTCACGTGGGTGAGCCATCCTCCTTTGCTGTCCCAAGCAAAACAGCAGTAAGTTGAATGGGAAGTGGAGCAGCCAGGATATGGGACGCTGGTGCAGCAAGCAGTGCTAGCTTGACATCTGTGCCCCAGTGCAAGCACCACCCTCATTTGTTTGTTGAAAAGCAGACTGACAGACTGAGAGAGCTCCCATCTCCTCACATTCATAAATAATACATAATAAAAACCTTTCAATAAATAAATAAATAAAACTTGGACTGCTGCTCTATTTATGAATATTGCTTCTTTCTTTCTTTTTAAAATGATTTACTTATTCATTTATTTTTGGAAAGTTAGATATACAGAGAGGAAGAGACAGGAAGATCTTCCATCTTATGGTTCACTCCCCAAGCGAACACAATGACTGGAGCTGATCTGACGCCAGGAGCCTGGAGCTTCCTCCGGGTCTGCCATGCAGCTGCGGGGTCCCAAGGCTTTGGGTCGTCCTTGACTGCTCTCCCAGGCCACAAGCAGGGAGCTGGATGAGAAGCAAGGCTGTTGTGACTACAACTGGCCCATATGGGATTCTTGCACACACTTGCAAGGTGAGGACTTTAACTGCTAGGCTTCCACACCAGGTCTGATATTGCTTATTCTAGCTAATTTTATGTTCAATGAGTAGAACATGGTGAAGATCCAGTACTTTTGTTGTGTTCATGCTCTTAATATCATTTTGCAAATTCAAAACAAATTGCAGTTTGCTGATCATTTTTAAGGGACTCCAATGTCTAACATGAGCAACTTCATGATTTTTTTCCCCCAAGAACTTTTGGAAAAAAAAAAAAGAACTCTTGAAAAGTTGAATTAATTAAAACTAATGGCACTAGAGCACACTTTTTCACACTGTCATTGAAACACTGGTAGGAAATAAAGCAATGAATTTTTTTCCCTTAACTTTTGGTAATTTTTTATTTTATTAGCAATGATCTATCAATGTAGTACAGGAAGTGGTGGTCAATAGGGTATGTGAATTAAAGATACACTCTAGGGACCTGCACCACGGTACAGACCAATCCTCTGCCTTGCATGCATGAGCCAGAGTAAGTACAGGCTGGCTGGGCTTTGTCACAGCATTAGCTGGCAAGTGCTAGGACTGGACGCAAGGCCTGTCAAACTGGACTGCAGAATCACCTGGTGAGTGTGAGATATGGGACAGGGAGTGGGCCCAGTGCGGAAAAGTTGGGCACCTCGGATGGGCTTTAAACTCCCACTGGTGAGCATGAGAACCAGGGCTTGGGCAGGACCTGGATGGACAGCTGGTGGCACCCACTGGCATGACTGTGGGCTGGATAGTGGGGTTGATTGGTTTGAGCTAGGCTTCAATGCCCACTGGCATATACAAGAGCTAAACGGGATATGGGGCAGTTTGGACCAGTCTATTGCACGTATTGGCAAGCACAGGACCAGGACTGGGGGCGGGCCTGGTGGGGGTCGTTGGGTGTCATTCCGACTGGGCCGCAGTTCCTGCTGGTACATGTGAGGGAGGAAATGTGTGGTGCACAGGGTTGGGTTGGTTGGGCAACATCTATTGCTTTATGTAAGAGATAGGGAGACAGCACAGGCCCAGCAACTGCAACTACTGGTGTGTGGGTAGGCTGATGTGGGGGATGGACTGAGCCGGCCCACATATTGGTAAACACACATAATTCAAATCTGGGATCACTTCAGATGAGGTTTCTGGAATCCCCTCAACTGAACTGCTGGACTCAGAACACCAAGCATGGGGAGAATTGCAGGATTGGTGGACTGACCATAGAGTGCATGTGTCAGAACTCGGCCTTCTCAGTGTAAAAGATGGAGCAGTGGATGGCATGGCCAGATGCACATGAAGGGTATGGCAGTCTACTGGGGCCTGCAAAGACATCTGGTACCATAGCAGAGGAGAGATGGCAGAGCAAATTGGTTAACTACCCCAGCCAAACATTGACAGTAAGTGTCTGAGTGAATGGAGGTGGATTATGTCAGCCAACGGACCTTGGATTTCCTTATCCTTGGATGGATGAGACTGACAGCATTTCAGAATTAGCAAAACCACTTGGGCAGAACCCTCGCAGCATACTCCACATCAGGGACCTTGGAATGACAGTCAGGTGGCTGTTCCCCTTCCCCAGGGTATGGAGGCGGTTGGGAGGCAGGGTGCAGCTTCTTCCTTTATTCGCTTGGCCACCCACCCCCACCTTACCCCCAGGAAGAAGAATAAGAAAATTTGGAAACAAAAGTAAGAGATACATTGTAAATACTCAGTAACGTTTGTTAGCAGTTTAAAAGTTACTTTGGGTGGGGCACACTGTGCTAATGAAGCTGCCCCTTACGATGCCTGCAGCCCCTGTGGGCAGCTGTTTTTGAACCCATACTTCGCTTCTGATTCTGACTTCCTGCTAAGTATGTCCTGGGAGACACCATGTGATGGTTGCAATAACTAGGGTTCCTGAGGAGGAAGTCAGCAGATGGGAGATTTCTCTTTGTATAAATTAAATATTTAAATAGTTAGAGGTGGAGCTTAGCATAGGTTTAAGATTCTGCTCAGGACATCCCAGTTCCTTATCGGAGTGCCGGGGTTAGTCCCAGCTCTGCTCTGCTTCCCATTCTAGCTTCCTGAATGCACACCCTGGGAGGGATCAGGTGATGGCTAAGGTACTTGGGTCTCTCACCCACATGTGACTCAGGTTTAATTCAAGGCTCACGGCTTTGGCTCGTTCCAGCCCTGGCTATTGTAGGTACCGGGGAGTGAACAGTAGATGGATGTCTCACTCAAATAGAAACAATCAAGAAAAAAATTAGTGTTATCATGCATTTCTTGATTCTTAACTGCCAAAAAATACTGCAATCTATTAAAAAATTTTAATTTATTTTTTGAAAGATGTATTTGTATTTCTTTTTGGAAAGCCAGCTTTACAAGAGGAGACAGAAAGACTTTCCATCCACTGCTTCACACCCTAAGTGGCTACAACACCAGAGCTGAGCCAATCCAAAGCCAGGAGCTTCTTCCGGGTCTCCCACACGGGTGCAGGGTCCCAAGGCTTTGGGCCGTCCTCCACTGCTTTCCCAGGCCACAGGCAGGGAGCTGGATGGGAAGCGGAGCAGCCAAGACATGAACTGGAGCTCATGGGATCCTGGTGCTTGAAGGGAGGATTAGCCAACTGAGCTACTACACCAGGCCCTAAAGATTTATTTATTTAAAAGGTGACTTACTCAGAGAAAGGGGAAGAGGGGACAGAAAGGAAAAGAGGAAGGAAGAAAGAAAAGGGAAAGGTGGTGGGGAAGGAGAATCTTTTATCTGCTGGTTCACTACCCAAACGGCCCCAACAGCTAGGGCTGCGACACACTGAAGCCAGGAGCCTGGAGCATCTTCCAGGTTTGCTATGTGTGTTGTTGGAGCCAAGCATCCTCCACTGCGTGTCTTCCACTGCTGTTTTCAGGCCAGTGGCAGGAAGCCTACTTGACAGAGCAGCTGTGACACTGAGGGATGCTGGTGGTGGCAGCTCGCACTGGCTATTCCATAAAGCTGTCCTTACAATCAAGTAGTTTTCAACAACAGAATTATCTGGGCAACAGAATTATCTTGGCAAACAGACAAGGTGTACAGAACTTAAATCCAACCTTAGAACTAGAATTACATACCAGTCTCACCTCTAGTTCCAGATAGGCTAAGGTGGAAACTCACTACATGATGGGACACGATGACCACTGGGGAGCTGGAGTTACGGTCCATGTCAGAACGGGGACAAACACATCAACTGCAAAGCCATCTTCATGTTTCTTGCTTTAACCAAATTGCAACATTTGTCCCCTTTCTTGCAGTTAAAATGTAAAACCATTATAAAGAAATTTAAAACCATTATCAAAACATATATATGTTTTGTTTAGCTTTTTGTGAAACAGTCAATTTGTTGGGGCTAATTTCATACCAATAGGAAAAATGCTCTTTGGTAACTAATAAATACTGAAAAAAATCCTGCCCCTCTGCAGTTTTATGCTTAAAAACTCATCTGCTGAATCTAAGATCACTTCTGGGACTGGCATTGTGGTATAGAAAGTTAAACTATCCACTGTCATGCTGGTATCCCGCATGGAACACGTTCAGATCCTGGCTAATTGCCTCTGTTCCAACTCCCTGTTCATTTGCTTAGCAGGGCAGAAGATGATGCCACAACTACTTGGGACCCTGCCACATCTATGGGAAACCCGACGGCATTCATGGTTCCAGGTTCCACACTGGCCCCACCCCAGTTCTTGTGGAATACACCAGCGGATACAAGATCTTGTTTCTCCCAACTGTAATGGTGACATTCAAATAAATAATTAAAAAACAAAATAAAAACTCTGGAAAAAAACACAGAATGGGAATTGATGATTTAGTTGTGAAATGCCAACAATAGTCAGGCTCAACCAGGCAAACGTGGGGGTAATTCCTCCAGGTCACCTACACGGGTGGCAGGAAGCTGGATTTTTAAGTGTGAAGGAGTTGGGACTTGAACTGGCACTATGGCATGGATGCAGATCTCAAGTGCAGCTCAACCTATTGTGCTACCATGTTGTCCCTAAGATCATGTTCATATCCTTTGTTTAAAAGGTTCATTTTTTAAAAAATTCAGAAGTCGGAGTTAGATCTTCTATCTGCTGGTTCACTCCCCAAATGGCCTCAATGGCCAGAGCTGGGTCAGTCTAAAGGCAGGAGCTAGGAGTCTCTTTTGGGTTTCCAACACACTTAGGTCTTCGTCTACTGCTTTCCTGGGTGCATTAGCAGGGAGTCAGATGGGAAGTGGAGCAGCCAGAGTTGAACCAGTGTCTTTAGCAGATGCCAGTGATGCATGTTACCTGCTACACCATGCTGCTGGCCCCCCGCTTCCCCTTAATCTATGGCAATACTTCAGCTACAATAATTAATGACTAAGTCTCAGTGTCACATGTAATATGCAAATAGCAGCCTTTAACTGACCATACTTCTGGCTAAGACTGGCAATACATTCTTGTGAAAGGTTGCTAAAGCCAAATGATGTCACTCAGCAGCAGGCCAACAACAGTCTGACCGGGCTCTTGTCAATGTGGACCCAAGGCTACAGTGACACACAACACCAAGACTTTCCTACACCAGTTTTATTCAAAACACATAGGATCTGTAATGGCAAATAGTTCAAATAATGCATAACATGAATTGTTGATGAATACAAGGACTTTAAATATGAAACAAAATTATTTTTTTAATGTAAAGAGGTTATATACAAAAAAAAAAAAAAAGAACATGGAATCTATAAGCTGATTCCAAAATCAAATGAGCAAACAAGTGGCGGTGAAACCAGAACATTCCACCTCTGCTTTGGAGAAGGGCTATCATACAACATTCAGTAAGCTGAGGATGGACTGGCAGAGGTGTTTCTATACACAAGTTTCAAGTCACTTTTCCTTGTGCCGAATCATCCAGCTCTGCCCAAGACTGAATGGGCAGTCCTGTGGCTTTCTTCCTTTACCAAATTTCCAACATGGCCATAGGAAGTTCAACTCTCGATGAGCCGCTTACAACAGCAGTTCCTTAGGAGCCAACACGACAGGTGGGTCAGATTTCCCTCTGAGAAACCAAACTGGCCACCTAGAGCAAAACAGCAAAATGGACACGTCCTCTTCCTCCTCCTTCCAATTATATACAATATGTTTCCTTCCAGACTATTATTCCCATCACACATGTTCATTCACAAGTCTAAACCTTGAGGTGAAATGAAGGAGACGAACAGCAAGAAAAGAAAATCCACTCCAGACACGAAGGAACTGGCAGGCATCCAATACACCCGCGGAGCGTCTCGTCATCCCTGCTGGAGCACAGCCCCGCGCACCGCCACGATCCACAAGTACGGGCAGCTTGGGGACGCTCACTGCTTTCTTTCTCTCAGCTGGTTAAAGGGCACCAAATAAATACTGGGCAAGAAGAGTTTGCTGGGAAAGTTAGAAATAAAAAAAAAAGTTAACCAATTGTTGTCCCTGTGACAATTCAGTGCCAGGAAGAGGCAAGTATTAAAGGGAAGGGACAGTGTCCACACTAATAGTTCCTCTAACACATCACCGTCCCTTACAAAGAATCCAGGGCACCCCAGAAATAGAAAATTAGTTTCAGGGGACCCCCGAGGCACTTTTAAGCCTTAAAAAATTACAGTAATAATAATAATAGTAATAATAATAATAATAATAGGTTAGCTATTGCTCTTCAGAGGCGTAGGGCAGCGGCGGCACCAGGCCCACAGAGCTGTGTCTCTGTCACAGGGCGTCTGGAGTTGCTCCACCCTCTTTAAAGCTTGCTGGAATCTCCAAACACCTTTAAAAAGACACACTTTAACACAGACTGTGTGGGTTTGTTTAGTGGTGGCATGTGATTTGGTCCTTAAAAGTAGCAGCTGTCCTCATCCATGTCAAAATCAGGTAACATCAAGTACATCACGATGATACACAAAGAAAGGATACAACAAAGGGCCAAACAGCCGGAGCTGATGAACACCTCAAGGAGTCTCTAGGTTTCTCTGCACCCTTCTGCATGGATCTCCCACTCAGTCTCCTGCTGCGGAGCGTAGCGTAGGGCAGAACTTGTTCTCAAAGATGCCTGACAATGGCATCAAGTGGACAAAACAGTTATTGAGGGACTTTTAAAAATCTGACCCCAAGGAATCCAGGACACATACAGGTAATTCAGAGGTATACTTCTGATTTGGGGCAAATTCTAGACTAAAGAAATAATCATTTCTGGTAAATGTTGTAATAGATAAGGTGAAGTCCAGTTGATTGGTGAGTTTTTGCAAAGTGTTCTCTGCCGCTTTCAGCTGTCGATCATTTCTGACAGCTCAAGAAGAAGGTCATCTTCATCCTTCCCCGGGTCCAGGTCGATCTCTGCCTCCAATTTGCCTCCGGAAATCTCCCATATTAGTTTCTCAAAATCATCCTCCACAGACAGCGGGGGCTTCCCTGCTGAGGCAGAGCTGAGCCGGCGAGTTTTTGTGGCCCCTTGGGACGAGGAGGGACCAGATCCTTCTGGGGGTGGGGGCTCTGAGGAGGCCTGAGCTGGAGGCAGCGCAAGACTGTAAGGAAAAGGACACAGATTCTGAGAAAACATCTCCTTTTCTGCGGATGAGTGAAGCCCCGGCCTCAGCGACACACAGGAGGGAGTATGTGGCTGCTTCTGAGGACACATGCACAAAGTCCTTCGGCTGATCCGGAACCAAGTGTTTTCACAAAATAAAATAGAATTCAAGCACCTTTTAGATAACACAGGCAAAACATGCACAATAACATAAGAAAAGAAATCTAAGACCTTAATGCTCTGCATTCTGGCAATCATTTGGAAGTCCAGCAGATTTAGTTACAGTGCAACCGCACACATTCAAAAGCTGTTCGTTGGCATTACTCTCTAGACAGTCTGGGTAAGAAGTACAGTGTGTTACCTGTCTCCAGGCTTTTCTGTCTCAGGCACAGCGACTGACTTTTCCTCCGAGAGGAGTGGGACGACAGCCTGCAGAAAGAAGTGTGAAGTGAATTTAGTGAGGTCAACTTTTTCATTTCAACACATTGTTTTCTTAAAATCATGGCTGTTTGTTCTTAAAGTTTATTTTTTATTTGAAAGGTAGAGCCAGAGAAAGAGGTATCTTTTACAAGCTGGTTAACTCCCCAAATGCTCATAGTTGGGGCTGGACCAGATCAAACCTAGGAACCAGGAACTCCATCCAGGTTAACACCCAAGTGAGTGGTCAGGACCCAGTTCAAGCTGTCAATCACCTGTTGTTCCCAGGACACGGCAATGCCCACTCTGGATATTATTCTTTCAGCCTGGAACTCTGAGAATCAATAATAAAAGGTTGAGAGGCTGGGCTGCGGCACAGTGACTTAAAATCATCGCTTTTGATGCTAACATTCCATACTGGAGTGCCAGTTCAAGTCCTGGCTGCTGACGCGCCTGGGAAGCCCATGGGTGATGGCCCCAATATCTGGCCCTTGCCACATGAGTGGGAGACAGAGATGGGTGTTTCTGGCTGCTGACTGCGGCCTAGACTGGCCCCAGGCTGCTGCGGAATTTGAGAGTGAACCAGTAGATGGAAGGTCTCTGTAACTCTGCCTTTCAAATTAATTAATAAAAGTGAGTCTGAAAACAGAGTCGGGCCTGCCGTGGGGCCTCTCCTTACCACTGCTGCTTTCTTGGCTGGGCTCTCCTCCAGGCCGCTGCTGGAGCTGAGGGGCTTCACAGCCACCACAGCAGGGTACATCTCCGAGGCCTTGCGTTTTGGAGCCAACTTGGAGGGAGAAGCAATTTTAACCACAGACGGCTTCACGTTCACCTTGGGTTTAACTACAAAGGACAGAAAACATTAGTTATAATACTCTCTTTTACACAGAAAGTCACTCAAGATATTAAAATCCCATCAGAAATACTACAAACAAAATGAAAACAGAACAGAATCACATAGACTGAAAACAATCCGCAGATAACCCGATGACAGGAGTGGGTACACACACGTTCCCAGTGGCTCTTCATTCATTGTTACTGGGTTTCTTCTCTCTGGTATTTTCTACCTCTAACCCACAGGGGAGATTTGTCACAGAAAGTCTTAAAACTTTTAGAGCTGCAATTCTAAATCAAGAAAGGAACCCATCTAAGTTCTGCTTTTGTATAAACTTGGCAATTTTTATATCTTATAGCAAGGAGAAACACACACGAATACCCACCTTTCCCCCTTTTTTCCAAGGTCTGTGCTGCACATTTCACATTCAGGATTGAGTCCCCGGTCCCTAAGGCTTCCACCTCCATCTTCTGGACTTTCGTGGGAAGTCGCTTGGTCAGGTGCTGAGGATCACCTGGTACAGAAGGGAGCTCCGGTGGCTCCACTCCTGGTGTGTTGCCGGAGGCCACTCCCTGAATCTGCGTCAAGACAGACTTCTCCCTCTGGGACGCTCCCTTCTCCTGCTGCTCCTGTGCATGCTTTTCTTTGTTGCGTTCACATCTCTTGTCTTGAATTGTAGTGCTGTCAACTCCTATGGCTTCATCTGAAGCCTGTGGGCAAATTTCACAGGACAAAATTAAAAATTTTCCTACAGCAAACAGCCTATTTCCTTTCATTTTATTTTATCAATGGAGGGACAAAGAGAAGGAGAAACAGCTGTATACAGATACTCCACATGCTGGTTCACTGCCAACGCAACAGCAGCCCGTGGGGTGGAAGGAACCCAACTCCTTAAGCCATCATCTGCTACTTTCCAAGGAGTACAGCAGCAGGAAGTTGGAATGTTACTAAAGTAGCTAGCACTTGCACCCAGGGCCTCTGATATAGATGTGACCACCCCAAGCAGTAATGCAACCACTACCACAGGCCCACCCCCAACGACTACAGTCATCAAGCCCAAGCTGGCCCGAAAAGTCAGACATGACCCAGAATCTAAGGGGACTGTTATTTAATGTTAATGGAAATTATACTAACATTAACGACTAGAATTAAATCTGTGTGGACCAATACTAGGACAGGTTTGACAGGCTAGACAACCACAACTCTAACACAAATAGTAATAACTCCTAAAAATTTAGACACAAATTTACACTAAGATATTTCTCATTGCATAAATTTTTATAAAACTTTAATGCCCAAGGGTGTGTGTTTATGTGTGTGTGTGTGTATAGCAACCAGGCTATCACTTATGACATGCACATCCCATATTACAATGTCTGGTTCAAGTCCAAGCTGCTCTGCTTCCGAGCCAGTCTCCTGCTGACATGCAATCCAAGAGGCAGCAGTGATGGCATAATTATTTAAGACACTTACATGGAGACCAAAAACCAAGTTCTAGGTTTCTGGCTTCAGCCTGGGTCAGCCCTGGCTGTAATAGACTTTTGGATAGTGAACCAGTAAATGAAAATTCCTCTCCATTTATCTTTGTTTTCAAATAAAATGAGACCAAAAAGTGAACAACCACCCTCAAAAAACCCCAAACACAACCTTAATGTCCAGAAAAATATATATTCATATAACAGGATGTTGTGTGGAAGGTAGAAATAATAATTGTTTTCCACTCTAATTACTTGAAAGGGACACAGAGAGAGAGATGGCAAGCCCGGTGATCACACCTGCTCCCATTGCTACCTCTCCCATTGCTCACGACATCAGGGGGCTGAAGCCAGGTCTGCCCTGCAGCGGCCAGTGCCCTCACTGCTGCCTCCCGAGGTTTGCTTCAGCAGAAGCTGGAGTCAGGAGCTGGAGTGGAGGGCTGAACTCAGAACTCTGAAGCGAAATAACACCCCAGCCAATGGTGGTTACATCAGAGTTGCACAACACAATGGAGGCGTCTGTTCATTCTCCACCTGGCCTCTGGTCGCCAGAAACAACAGCATACAGTTAACCAAACTCACCTCCTTAGGCTCTGTTCTATTAATATTCCTTTGGGAAGCAACTTCACTTCCTTCCTGAAGTTTCCTCTCTTCCTTCGTACCTGTATTTACATTGAATACATCATCAGCTGTCATTTCCTTTAGGCTACAACATCATGACAAAGAAGTTCAACAAAACTTTTCTTAATGAAAACAATTATATAAGACAAAGAGAACTGGATACATGTTGATCCTCACAGAGTTGCAAAATGCACAGAAGAACACCAAAGGCTCAAAGGATGGTGTTACAATAAAGCAGCTTAACCACACTCAGTCCACTGGTTTGCAAATTAGCTTCAAGAACTCCTACAAAGCGCACGTGGCGAGCTGCACTCTATCTGGGCAGCTCTCCTCACCTGTCCTCTTGGCGATCCGCAGCAGCCGCCGGGTTCCCGGGGTGGCCTCGGGTTGTGGCTGGGTGCTGGCACTGCTCTTGGTACTCTGCTGCACCCTCAGGGCCTTCTCCAGCTTAATCTCCTCCAGCGTCTTAATGTGCACCTCCTGCATCGACTTGGCTCTACCTGCAGGCTCCTCCGCCGGTTCTCTGCTGGCCACTCCGGGAGGCAGAACCACGGCTTTTTTACTTTCAGTATCAGTCTTCAACTTGATGCAAGCGGTATCCTTTCTGCTTTTCTGTTTGTCTGTCTCCTGCTGCCGGTGTTTTTTTTCCGCCAGGACCTCTGAGAAGGTTTTAATCCGAATAGTGGAGGAGCTCCTTGCTCCTGAAGCAGAATCATCAGCTCTGCACGATCCTTCCGACTTGAGTTTGGTTTGCAATTCTCCGCGTTTCTGATTGGCTCTTTCAAGAAGAATTTCTTCTAATGTCTTCACGTGGATTTCACCAACTTTATTAACTCTTTCTGTTTTCACAGGAGAAAACCATGTCATCTGACTTGAAACTCATCTCTTATCATTTTCCTATTCTTGGGTCACATCACTCCATAAATGAATCATGTAAATAGGCTATTAAAATGACAAACTGAAGAATGAATTTGGATCTCAATTTTAGATCACTGCATGTTTCTGGTCATGGCAACTACAGGAAATTTTTTTTTAAGATTTATTTATTTTTATTACAAAGTCAGATGTACAGAGAGGCGGAGAGACAGAGAGGAAGATCTCCCATCCGATGATTCACTCCCCAAGTGAGGACAACGGCCAGAGCTGCGCTGATCTGAAGCCAGGAGCCAGGAACTTCTTCCTCCAGGTCTCCCACACAGGTGAAGGGTCCTAAAGCATTGGGCCGTCCTCTACTGCTTTCCCAGGCCACAAGCAGGGAGCTGGATGGGAAGTGGAGCTGCCGGGATTAGAACCAGCGAGTTTAAGGTGAGGACCTAAGCCACTAGGCCACACTGCCAGGCCCCAGAAAAACTCTCAAGAGGGAAAAAAAAAGTGCTGATCTGTTTGACTACCTAGATGTTAAAAAAATTTTTTTTTGTTGCTTTTTGCAATTTTCTTTTTAAAAACTGTGGGAAGTAGAGGGAAAAAGATCTTCCATCCAGTAGTTCACTCCTCAAACAGCCCAACAGATGAGCCTGGGCCAGGTGGAAGCCAGGAGGTCTCCCAGGTGGGTGGCAGGGGACAAAGTACTGAAGGTAGCCAGAGCACACACAGGCAGGACACAAGGACCTGAGCCCAGGTACTCTGATGCGGGATGCACACACCCCAAACAGTGCCTTAACCCACTGTTCTCTCATGCTTGCTCCAGCCAGTAACTTTTTAACTTTTGAAGGTTTTTAAATAAAAGGTGTTAGGGCCCAGCACAGTGGCCTAGCAGCTAAGGTTCTTGCCTTGATCGCGCCAGGATCCCATATGGGTGTCAGTTCTAATCCCAACAGCTCCACTTCCCATCCAGCTCCCTGCTTGTGGCCTGGGAAAGCAGTCAAGGACGGCCCAATGCTTTGGGATCCTGCACCCACATGGGAGACCTGGAGGAAGCTCCTGGCTCTGGATCGGCGCAGCTCTGGCCATTGCACTCACTTGGGGAGTGAATCATCGTATGGAAGATCTTCCTGTCTCTCCTCCTCTCTATAGCTCTGACTTTGTAATAAAAATAAAAAATAAATAAATCTTAAAAATCACAAAATGAATATGATAAGCAGCATGGAGACCTTGTTTCTCTTCCCCTACTAAAATTCCATCAAACTGACATATAAAACATTAAAATACCACAAACTGGACCACTCCAGTAATACCCTCAGAACATTCTTCCCTCTGTCGGGGCCTCAAGGTAATACTGGATGACCATCTCCATCCCTGGGCACTTATGTAGTATGACAGGAGGGAGTGGTGCTCCCCCGCCAACACACACAGGAGGGAAAATAAACATTTATCTCACCCACGTCCCCTCCTAACCAACCCTGTCCATCCTGATCAGAGGCCCACATGGATGTGCAACTTCATCTTAATAATAAGTATTAAAAAGAAACCCCACAAGTTGGGGCCAGATGGGTGGTGCTGGCTGCTCCTCAGCACACACAGGGACACCCGGATGGAGTTCCAGGCTCAGTCCTGGCTGTGCAGGCAACTAGGGGAGTGATCCAGCAGGTAGAAGAGCTCTCATCACACTCTGCTTTTCAAATAACAAACTACACAAAACAAAAAGCAGATACCTAAATTTATAGACTCCCCCCCCCCCAAAAAAATAAAAAACTGTAGGGATGAGAACTGCTCTTGCCAATAGGGTCAAGAAAAATTGCCAAACTGGGTCAGTAGTGGGTGCTTGGATGACCAGCCAGCTGGTCAGAAGCTTTTCCTGAGGACTCCCTAAGAAGAAGAGAAGCCATCCCAAAAGAGCACATCATGAAGATGCTGGCAAGAAGAGCCTAAATGTCAAGCAGAAGAGAAAGATGGGGACCAGCCAAAGTTAAGCAAAAAGAGGAAAACGGTTGGTTCTATTCTGAAGGCAAGCTGTGTGTGTCCCAGCCTGTCATCCACACAAGCAACTCTCAGCACACACTCAGCACCAGTCCAGAAATAAATCATGTCTCCCATCAGGGAGCATCTATTTGAGAAACTGTCTTCCAAACCACAGAGGAAACCCATGGAAAGTACTTAAAACTACAATTAAAAAAAAAAACAACATTAAAAAATAGCCAAAACAGAGGCAGTTCAAGTTAAATGGCTGCCTGTGACACTGGCACCCCATATGGAAAGCAGCTCAAGTACCAGCTACTACATTTGCAATCCACTTCCCTGCTAATATGCCTGGGAAAGCACCAGAACCTGGCTCAAGTCTCAGGGATCCTGCACCTACAGGGGAGACCCAGATGAAGTTCAGCCTCCTAGATTTGGCCCAGTCCACCACCAACTGATACAGCTATTTTGGCAATGAACCAGCAAAAGAAAGATCTCTTTATCTTTCCCTCTTGCTCTATAATTCTGCCTTTCAAGTAAGTAAAGTCTCAAAAAAAAAAAAAAAAAAGACTAAGTAGTAAAGATCATATATAAAAATAAAACATTAAAAGGAAGACTGGGGCCCAGTGCGGTGGCGCAAGTGGTTAAGGTCCTCGCCTTGCATGCCCGGGATCCCATATGGGCGCCGGTTCTAATCCTGGCAGCCCCACTTCCCTTCCAGCTCCCTGCCTGTGGCCCGGGAAAGCAGTCGAGGACGGACCAAAGCTTTGGGACCCTGCACCCGCGTGGGAAACCCGGAAGAGGTTCCTGGCTTCGGATCGGCATAGCATCGGCCGTTGTGCTCACTTAGGGAGTGAATCATCGGACGGAAGTTCTTCCTCTCTGTCTCTCCTCTCTGTATATCCACCTTTCCAATAAAAAAATAATAAAAATAAATCTTAAAAAAAAAAAAAAGGAAGACTAAAATTAGAGACGGCAGAAAGGTCTGAAACCAGTCTGTGAAAACAGGAGAAATCAAAAAGCAACAAACAGTACTTAGAAAATAGAAGTATCAAAAATAAACTCATATGAAGGACTCAACACTAAAACTACAAGGCTGGACAAGCCAACTGCAGCCTATAGGGCAAATCCGGACCCCGCTGCTCCTTCCTATAAGTGAATGCTGGCAGAAACAGAGCCACCCTCACTCATTTCTGAACTGCTCACGGCTGCTGTCCCGGCAGAGGAGGAGCTGCAGCAGACACTGTGGACAGCAGATACCTGATCCTCCACTGAAAAATAACCTGTCCATTCCTCATCTAGAGAACAAAGCTCTCTGGAGTGGAGGCCAACAACAAAGGCATGAGTATAAAGACGTGGTGTGTACACCTCAAGAATTTCTTTTTTTTAAAGATTTATTTTTATTATTTTTTCATTGGAAAGGCGGATATACAGAGAGGAGAGACAGAGAGGAAGATCTTCCGTCCGATGATTCACTCCCCAAGTGAGCGCAACGGGCCGATACTATGCCGATCCGAAGCCAGGAGCCTCTTCCGGGTCTCCCACGCGGGTGCAGGTTCCCAAAGCTTTGGTCCGTCCTCGACTGCTTTCCCGGGCCACAGGCAGGGAGCTGGAAGGGAAGCGGGGCTGCCGGGATTAGAACCGGCGCCCATATGGGATCCCGGGCGTGCAAGGCGAGGACCTTTAACCACTTGCGCCACCGCGCCGGGCCCCACCTCAAGAATTTCTAAGAGAATAAAAGCAAAGGTAAGCAGGATACACTTAAAGAAATGAAAGGCATGTTTTCTAGATCGAAAGCAGGCAAGTCTTTCAATTCTGAGTTCACTGAACACTGGGCAGAATCAACAAAACCCTCCCAGATGGGTGAACGCTGGGTGCAGGGGGTTGAGAGAAGTCCTCTCAGGAAAGCCTTCGGACTTACCGGCCACATCCTCAGTGTCTGGACCAGCCAATGTGCCTAACCGCTCCTTGAGAGACTTGGGTACTTGTACTGTGGAAAGAATTTCAAGAAACCAAAAGCTGAGACAGGAGCTGTGGCACAGCATGCTAAGCCGCAGCTTATAACAAGGCGTCTTGTATCAGGGTGCTGGCTGGAGTCCAGCTGCTTCGCTTCCTATTCAGACTCTGGCTAGTACGCCTGGGAAGGCAGTGGAATGCAACAAAGCACAACGCAGCAGATGGAAGCTCTCTCTGTCCCTCTTGCCGTTGCCTTTCACTTAGAGCAGGGTGTGTGTAGTCCCCAGGGAGACCCACAGGCTCCAGCTGCTGTGAGGGCAGGTCTCTGTCTCTGCCTAGCTATTTCTTACAAACAAACTGAAAAAAATTTTTTTTTTAATACATAAACCACCTCTTTTCAAAGTTCACAAATTAGACTATACTTCTCTCTCAGTGGTAACATCAAAAGAGCCCCTAAGCCCTTACCCTTGCCTTCCTCGCAGAAGAGGCTCACACAAGCCAGAGGCAACAGAGTTCCTGGAGCCATTTACTACAATGCTGCTGGCAAAGTTTCTATTCCCCTAACTCTATGTGAAATAACACTCTTTAGTTTTAAGAACTGTCAATATAATTGGCAGGGGGGATTTAGCAAACAATAAAGCCCTCAAGGGTAAAGGCAAAGTGCAAAATTTCTCATTGTTGGGTGTTGAGGCGGGCAGCCAACCCTGGACTCCGTTCCTTCCACTAGAAATCATGCACAGCGTCAGCATATTTCCACATCAATTTTAATACAAAAATTTACACCATGGGACTGATGCGATGGCTCAGTGGCTAAATCCTCACCTTGCATGTGCAAGGATCCCATATGATCACTGTTTTGACACCCAACTACCCCACTTCCAATCCAGCTCCCTGCTTGGGGCCTGGGAGAGCCTAAATACTTGGCCCTGCACTCATGTAGGAAACTGGGAAGAAGCTTCCAGCCCCTGGCTTTGGATTGCTTCAGCTCTGGTGTTTCAGCCACTTGAGGAGTGAACCCGGGAACAGATCTTTCTGTTTCTCCTTCTCTCTAAATCTGCCTTTCCAATAAAAATAAATACATCTTAAAAAAAAAATCTATGGGGCCCGGTGCGGTGGCGCAAGTGGTTAAGGTCCTCGCCTTGCACGCCCGGGATCCCATATGGGCGCCGGTTCTAATCCCGGCAGCCCCGCTTCCCTTCCAGCTCCCTGCCTGTGGCCCGGGAAAGCAGTCGAGGACGGCCCAAAGCTTTGGGACCCTGCACCCACATGGGAGACCCGGAAGAGGCTCCTGGCTTCAGATCGGCATAGCATCGGCCATTGCGCTCACTTAGGGAGTGAATCATCGGACGGAAGATCTTCCTCTCTGTGTTTCCTCCTCTCTGTATATCTGCCTTTCCAACAACAAAAATAATAATAATAACAATAAAAAAAAAATCTATGCCACTACTTTTAATCTGGGTAATTTTTACAGCCTATAATCCATATCCTGGCCAGTACGCTGTCCCCTTCTAACCTCTGTCCCTCCAACGGCTCCAAAGTGCGAACCTGAGCCTTGTCACCACTATAAAGTGAGCCCACGTTCCAGTGAGGCCTTGGCAGCTCTGCTGGAGGCAGTGCCTCCTCCGATCACACTTTCCATCTTGCCTCTATTCTGTCCCCACCACCCCCGGGCGCAGCATGCCCTCTCAGCTCTGTCCCTGTATGGGGGTCGTTCTCTCCGCCCCCCTCCTACCTCACTGGGCTAATTTCTAACTCAGATTACAAGTCTCAGTGTTCGAACATCACTTCCTCTATGAACCTGTCCCCAGCATTAGGTGTCCTTCCTTAAGCATCACGCATTAGAGGTGCTAGTCTCTATGACTAGTCCCACTTACCATTATACGACAAGCTACTGAGAAGTGTGACACTGTTTAACTCGTTCAATAAAACAACTCAAGTGTTACTGAATTTTAAAAATATCAGAATAACCTAATTTACTTGAACAAAATAATGACAAGCTGGTAGCATTCCAAGACACAGTGTCCAGGACACTCTCACAAACTTTGTGAGAGCAGTACCCACCTCTCTTTGGTGCTTTGTCAGCATTTGTTTCTGGAGCGTCAATTCTCTTTCCCAGCCTCTGAGCAAGGCTACGCTTTAAGGGAGGGCCACTGTCACCACCTACAAATAGGAGGAAGTTAGTTTTAAGATTTCAAGTCCACTTGGACAAGGCCAAGAAACACCAGCAAATCAGACACTGTACAAGGACACTGGAGTGCTGGTTCACCAAAAGAAATAAAAATGTTCTAAAAAGAGGAATCACAGGAAGGGGTGAAAAACTAGAATACACAAATAAGAATTTGCTAAATAACTGACTGAGCTGAAACATCATAAATACAGGTTGAGGCTGAACCTCACAACTGGAAATGTGCAGTTTTTCACATACCACTAGGTCTTGTCAAATCTCACCCCGTTACCAACCAGTAAGCAAAGGACGTCCCTAAAACCTGACCCAGTTAATTGCTCAATTCATATTAAATGTACTGGGGTGATAGGGACTACAGAAAAAATGTGCAAGACTGCAAGTTTCCCTGTGATATTAAAACTCTGAAGGACACAGACTCTTTCCTGTGCTCAAAGATTCTGCTTCTTATGAGCCACCAAGACACAAATCAAGATTCCTGACCAGCATGTATTAATGCTGTTGTTACACAGTTTAACACAACTTACAAGCCAGTTTTAAAAAACATGTTTTGGGCGGCTTGACTGCAACAGTATCTGCAGGGTCTTGCTAAACATTTGAAAAGATTCTTCAGAGGATATGATTTTCCACCTTCACTTATACTTTACATACATACATGACAGCATTAAAATAGTTGACCTTTTTTTTTTTAAAGCTTAAAACTTTAAAATCAGTTTTACTAAAACTGAAAATTTTCAGTTTTGGAGCCCTGGGTAGTTTGTGTTCCAAACACACGCTGATATAATCAAACGCTGCTCTTAAAATTGGAGGTGGCGAGCCCAGCACGGTAGCCAAGTGGCTAAAGTCCTTGCCTTACTCATGCCAGGATCCCATATCCCATATCCCAGTCCACATTCTGTCTGCTCCACTTCCTATCCAGCTCCCTGCTTGTGGCCTGGGAAAGCAGTCGAGGATGGCCCAATGCTTTGGGACCCTGCACCACGTGGGAGACCCGTAAGAAGCTCCTGGCTCTTGACTTCAGATCAGTTGAACTCCAGCCACTGCACTGCGGTCATTAGAGGAGTGAAATCACTGGACAGAAGATCTTCCTGTCTCTCCTCCTCTCTGTATATCCGACTTTGCAATAAAAATAAATGAATCTTTAAAAAAAAAAAATTGGAGGTGGCATTTTCCTAGGAAAGAAACGTGAGACAGCATCATTTCTGCCTCTCTAAGCTCTCTTTCTGGAAGTGACTATCCAATCAATAACACATCTAATTGAAGATAACTTAGTAAGTCTTAGAAGAGTTATTCAAACCCCAAATGAATTTGAGCTTAATACGCACGCTCCCTTACAGCTTTGAGGTCTGGTGAAAATGCAATAAAGCACTCTAACACACAACCAGGAGTGTACCATGTCACGCGTGCAGGTATAACTTCATCAGTAAAGGTTTCTGATGGATTTTGGGGGGGGGGTTGTTTTAAATCTTTTTGCAACAATAACTGCATAACCAATTCAATGATACATTCACATTTCGCAACTATCCAAAAAGTTGAAATGTTACCAGTCAGAACTGCTTTATAGTTAGAGCACTGAGTACAATGTCAAGAAAACAAATGGAAATCAGGTATCATTTAAGTACATTTAAAACAGTATTTATGAAGGCATCTAGCAAGTGAGAAAAGATTTCCAAAATAACCTTTCTGAGACAGACTTATAAAGCAACATTATGCTTCTAAGAAACCAATGCTTATATTTATACTTATCTAAAGAGAGGAGATATTCTTGTTAAACCTAGTGTCTTTTAAAAAAAAATTTATTTATTTATTTATTGGAAAGTCAGATATACAGAGAGGAGACAGAGAGGAAAATCTTTCGTCCAATGATTCACTCCCCAAGTGAGCGCAACGGCCGATGCTATGCTGGCCCAAAACCAGGATCCAGGAACTTCTTCCGGGTCTCCCACACGGGTGCAGGGTCCCAAAGCATTGGGCTGTCCTTGAATGCTTTCCCAGGCCACAGGCAGGGAGCTGGATGGGAAGTGAAGCTGCCAGGATTAGAACCGGCGCCATATAGGATCCTGGCACGTTCAAGATGAGGACTTTAGCCGCTAGGCCATGCCGCCGGGCCCTAACCCAGTGTCTTTAAAAAATGTATTTTAAAACACTTAAAAAAAAAACCCACTTAGAGAAAGGGAAAGGGAAAGAAAGAGAGGAGGGAGAGAGGGAAGAGGGAGGGAGGGAAATAGGAGGGGAGGGAGGGACAGAAAGGGAGAAATTAATCTTTCTTATACTTGCTCACCTCCCAGAAGGCTGCAATAGCCAGCACTGGGCCTGGTCAGTTAGGAGCCAGGAGCTTTTCTGGGTTTCCCATGAGGGTGACAGGGACCCAAGTATTTGGGACATGATCCACTGCTATCCCAGGTCATTAGCTGGGAGCTAGATCCAAATCAAAGCAGCCAGGACTCAAATTAGCGCATGCTGGCTTTACTATTCCGTCATAACACTGGCCCCTAAACCTAGTATATTTTCTTTTTAAGGATTTATTTATTTTCTTTTGTTGGAAAGCCAGATTTACAGAGAGAGAGATTTTCCATCTGCTGGTTCACTCCCCAAGTGACTGCATCAATCAGAGCTGAGCCGATCTGAAACCAGGAGCTTCTTCCAGGTCTCCCACATGGGTGCAAAATTCCAAAGATTTGGGCCGTCCTTGACTGCTTTTTCAGGTCACAAGCAAGGAGCAGGACGGAAAGTGGAGCAGCCAGGATACAAACCAGCACTCATATGGGATCCCAAGCTTGCAAGGTGAGGATTTAGCCTCTAGCTAATATGCTGGGTCCAAATCTAGTACCTTCTAAAAGGACAAGGCTATGATGATAATCAAATTTAACTAAAACAGTTTAAATTTCTAAAGCTCCCCGGAGCTGGTGTTCTTACTGAGCAGGCTAACAGCCACCTGTGACCCCAGTACCTGACATGTGCTGGTTTGAACCCAGCTGCTCCACTTTCACCCCCCGGGGACACTGGGCTGAGTTCCTGGCTGCTGGCTTTGGCCTGACCTAGTCCCAACTGTTGCAACCATTTAGAATGAACCAACAGATGGAAGATCTTTGTCCCTGTCTGTACCTCTGCCTTTCAAATCTTAAAAATTGTCTACAACTTCACAAAAAGTATCATGTACACAGAAAATCAGGAAATTTGGTACGTGCTTTCAGCCAGGTGTGCAGGACAGATCAGTATGAATAGACAGAACCACGTTAATGTACAACAGCAGAAAACACAAAGACACAAACCAGCTCACCTGCTGAGAATTTGCGTTTCCCTAGTCTCTCCGTAAGACTCAGTCTGACCAATGGTTCTTCTCCTGAAATAAAAAAAAAAAACAGAATTTCTCTAGCATTAACTAATTTCCCTGCATTTAGCAACTAATATAGATATAAAATATGTTCTAATTTTAATATAAACCCAACAGGAAGTCTATGGAAAATTAGGTCTCAGTCTTGGGACAAGCCTGCGGTGCATACTGGCAAGCATGGGAACCAGGGTAGGGGGCAGAACTGGTAGGGGTTTAGGGGAGTCGCCCCAACTAGGCTGCAGCTCCAACTGGTTTGCATGAAGACCGAGTATGAAGTGGGTAGAATCGAGCTGGACTACAACACCCGTTGGTTCACAAGGAAGACGGGGCTGGAAACCGAACGGACCCAGCAATCACAACGACCAGCATATGCGTAAGCTGATTGGTGTGACGAGCAGTGTTGGAGTCTGTACTAGCAAACTCACGCAAGAATCAGATCTGGGATCAACTCAGATGAAGCTTCTTTGGATATCTCTCCAACTGAACTGCTGATCTTGGAACCCCAACCATCAAGAGACTGTCAGCCAGTGGACTCTGAATAGGTTCCATTGCGGTTGGCATGGTGAGACTGGCAGCAATCCAGAACTGATGAACTATCAAAACTGAGCAGGACCCTTGGAGAGCGCCTCATGTTGGGGATTGGGGATGGGTGGGAGGTAGGGTGGGGCTTTTCCCTTTGTTACTCCCCTAACCCCAGATACAGGGCAAAATGATTATATTAGTGTGGAAACAATGATATTGCCCACTTTCACCCTGTAGCCCTTGACCCTTTGTACCCTAATAAACTAAGATTATTTAAAAAAAAAAAAAAAAGAAAAGAAAATTAGGTCTCAGTCTTAACAAGGACTCACAGTGAAGAACCATTAAACATGGTGCCAACAAAAGCAACACAGTTGCCAATTGCAAGACAAAACTTTTTTTTAAAAAAAATTTATACAGAGAGAAGGGAGACAGAGAGAAAGATCTCCAGTCCAATGATTTACCAGGCAGAGCTGGATGGGAAGTGGGGCCGCCAGGATTAGAACCAACGCCCATATGGGATCCTGGCACGCTCAGGGCGAGGACCTTAACCACTACATTACTACACTGAGCCCAAGAAAACAAAACTTTAAGCCAACCAATGGCAAGATCCTCAGTTACACTTCCTTCACATAATTGGGCTTTTAATGAAACTACTCGAACGCAGTACAGAGAGGAAGATTTCCCATCCGATGATTCACTCCCCAAGCAGCCGCAATGGCTGGAGCTGAGCCATTCTGAATCCAGGAGCCAGGAGCCTCTTCTGCGTCTCCCACATGGGTGCAGGGTCCTAAGGCTTTGGGCCGTCCTCGACTGCTTTCCCAAGTCACAAGCAGGGAGCTGGATGGGAAGCAGGCCCGGCGCATGCAAGGTGAGGTCTTCCGCTGCTAAGCTACTGCGCCAGTTCCCCCAGTAACTTTAAAAAAAATTTTTTTTTATTATATTTTTGACAATCTTTACATAGTTAATTAGGGTAAAAAGGTTCAAGGGCTGTAGGAAAGTGGGTGAGAGTATTATTTCCATATTGTTTCCTTCATGTTTAAAGGGGGGTATTAAGGGAGAAGGCCCACCCAATTTTCCACCCTCCCCAGGTCTTGGATGTAGGGCATGCTCCGAGGTTCTTGCTCAAGTCGTTTTGATAGTTCAACAGTTATGAATTGCTGCCAATCTTGCCACTCCAAGCACTATGAGGTCTTTGAAGAATCCACTGATTGACATAGTCCATCATAGAGCCTCCATGTGCCCCGTATTTCGCTGCCAACAAATAGCTCAGATGATTGATTGACTTGTTCTGTCTTCTGTCTTTTCTTGGTTAGGGTTTCGAGTCCAGTATTTTGATTGGGAAGATCTCCAAAGAAACTTTGTCTGAGGTGTTCTTAGACCAGATTCTGGTATGTACTAGCAAGTACAGGGCCCGGCACAGTCTATCGCCCCAATCAGCTGGTGGTTCCAATCGCTGGGTTGGTTCTGTTTTCAGCCCCGACTTCCACTGGAACCAATGGGTGTTGCAGTCCAGCCTGGTTCTGCCCAGCACATACTCGGCCCTTGCATAAACCAGTGGGAGCTGCAGCCTAGTTGGAGTGACCCATAATAACCCCCTCCAGGCCTGCCCCCTACCCTTGTTAGCCAGTATGTGTAGCAGACTAGTCCAATCTGTCCCACACCCCATTCAGCTCTCATACATGTCAATGAGTCTTAAAGCTTTGTTCCATCTAACCAGCTCCACTATGCAGCCCTCATGGATGTTGTTGGGTGTCTGTCTAGACACCCCAGCTCCTGTCCTACTTTTCGTGCTCTCCCGTGGAAGTGATAACCCAAGAGGGAGCCCACTACTTCCCTCCCAGGCCTCTCCCACTCCTGGATTATACACTCTCCAGTGGTTCTGTGGTTTGACTTGACAGAACTAGCCCCCAGTGCCAGTTTCTGCCAGCTGATGCTGTGGCTAAGCCCAAAGAACCCTCACCCACTCTAATTTTAGTCTGCACCAGTAGGAACAATCAGCCCAGCCTGGCTTTTCCCTGATCTAGTCCACATGAGGTGCCCAGGAGTTGTAGCCCTGCTTAGTCTGGTCTGTCCCCATCCCAGCTCTAGCTTTCCAATGGGAGTAGCCGTCCAGAAAGGGAAACCCCCTATATTCCCCCTGCTGGCTCCGCCCCCTCCCTTCCTGGTTCTCACGCTTGCTGGTTGGGTGCTGCGGTCACATCTGATACAGGCAACCTCACCTTGGCATTCTGTAATGTGCACTAGTTTTTGTTGCGACCAAACTTGGCTCGACCCATACTGTTTTGGTGCTCGGATTTGCCAGTGGATGACGTGAACTGATTCAGCCTGGTCTGCTCCCGACTCATGCCAAATGTATGCCAGTGGGTAACTTTCCATGGCCTGTTCTGGGCTGTTTCATGTTTCTTGTGCATACCTGTCGGGCCCATGTCCTGCCAGAGGAGTTGCCCAGGCTCCTCCATCAGAACCTCTCCCAGTGCCAGATTTTGCACATACCAGGGGGTCCATGAGCCAGCCCTACTCAGTTCACCTCCTGTCCTAGCAGGAACAGTGGCTTTTCCTGATGGCCTTCAACCCAAACTGGTTCTTGCTGTTGGTTGTTTCAGCCCAGCCATGGCTTGTCCATACCCACATATGGCTCACACATGGTTCAGCAGGGGTTGAGACCTTGCCTAGTCCACCCCACATCTACCCTGGTCCTCCAGAACACCAGAGGGTGTTCGAGTCTGGCCTGGCTCAGTGCATCCAATCCCAGTCCACACTTGTGCCAAGGGATACAACTGTTTCCTGATTAGAACGCAGCCCCAATTCCAGCTCATGCGCCCCTTGGTGGGAGCCTCAACCCAATTAAGGTCGTCCCCTTAGCTCCCCAACCGGGCCTGTTCCCAGCCATAGATCACGCACGCCAGTGGTGCTCTGACTCAGCTTGGCTCAGCCCCTCACCTGTCCCGACCTCTGCCTTAGACACTGTGGCTTAGCGGTCCTGGCTCACGCAGACCAGTAGGTGCAACAGCCTAGCTCGGCATGACCTGTGCTCCATCCTGGTCTCTAGTTTCGCTTGTGGGATAAGGTTTGCTCAGTCCTGCCTGGTCCACCCTGTTCCATTACCAACTGACACATTAGGCAGTTGTTGGAGCTACTTTTCCCAGCTTGTCTGACTCCCAGGTCTGGACCACATGTTCACCAGCGGGAGCTATGACTCACCAAGGGAGTTTCCCAGGTTCCTCCACTTAATCCACTCCCAGACCCAGTTCTCATACATGCCATTGGGTTTTAAGGCCAGGTTCCAGCGAAGTCTGGCCTTCCATTTGGCCTTGTATGAGTTGGTGAACGTTGCAGCCTGGCCCACACCACACCCTATTCAGGATGCACATTTGGGTGCTGCTGCCTTGACCAGTTCAGACTGTTGCGGGTTCCTTTACCTGTGATTGATGGCAGGCTCCTTGGTCACACCTAGCTTAGTCCCCAACTCTTGAGCTAACCAGTGGGTTTAGAATTTCCACAGGGCTGGGCCCACACATCCCCCATAGAATTTACCCCCGGATATGGTTCTTGAGAGCTAGTTAATGTAATGGCCCTGCTTAATGTGACCCTTCTCCTGATCCATCATCATGTCAGGTAGCAAGATATGATTCTGCTGGACAAGACCCGAGCCACAGCTTTTGCATGGACTGGTATTTGGTGGTCAGCATTATTCAGTGATTACAAGCTCTTCAAAGGAAGAGTTACTGTCATTGGGAATCTTTAGGATTGATTCACGTCCTAGAAACACAGTGGGTTTGATCTGGAGCAACTTAACCAGCGATTCAAAGAACTAAAATTCCAGAGGTTCCGGCCGGGCGGCCAGCAGGTGGAGCATGGTACCAAATGGTGCACCGGTCACCTGGGGACAGCTCACCACGTGCATGTGGTGGCTGGCATCTGGGATCCAGGTATGAGACGCCCAGTCCTGAGACCCAGCAGTCAGGAGACTGCTGGAGGTTTAAACTCCCAGGCCCAAGGTCGCACCCCTCCCTAATCCCATTCACCGCCCAATGATGGGGGGTGGGTGGGCCCTGGACCTGCCCAGTCACAGAGACCTCCCTCTTCGGTGTACTCACCCCAAAGGGGTGTCCCCTGGAGCCCAGGCAGGCCCGGGGACAGCTCACCACGTGCACATGGTGGCTGGCATCTGGGATCCAGGCATGAGATGCCATGTCCTGAGACCCATCCCCTCAGTAACTTTCTTTATCATCCCATTAACAAGCAACCTCTTCTGATTCTTTGTTGTTTCAATGGGATAAATACTTAAATGTGATCATGTTAAAATTACTTGTGTAGCAATTCCTGATTAATTTAAAATTAGTGAAAAGATTTCCGTATTTTTAACAAAAGGTTTCTTGCAGTTCCTTATGCTTAATGGCAAGTCAAAATATTCTCAATAGGCATGCAAAAATAGTAAATAAATACACATAAACAGGGCTGCTGGCCTAAGGAACTCAATCCTTGAAACCAGTGAAGTCAGACACACTCATTATTCTTTTCATTCTTAAAACTTAACATGCTAGTTTTTCTGTAAATCCATCACACACACATAGAAAGATTTTTTTCCCCAGTTATACAAAAGCCTAACCCAGCCACCCCTTACCTTGTTTGCTGGAGAGAGTCACTGTCCTCACCACGGTCCGGACATTCTCTTTTTCAGGACCTGGAATGGGCTGAGGTTGGAGTAAAACACTGGAAACTCCAGAAGAACCTTCTGAATAAAATAAGCCAAAGAGTGAAAAATTTATGCAGAATCTGTTTCTGGGACCACTTAAATCCAACACAGACTAATGATTAAAGGCCCACCAGCCTTTCTGTATTATCTCTGGCTACCAGAAATGGAGCAGTTCTTGCAGAAGCCAGGAGTATGATTCAAGAACAAAATGTAAACCTGTTTTGAGGATTCATGGGCTCACTTTACTAGCTATCAGACACATCTGAAAGCCTTTCCTCCTCCAGGTCCCGGCCAACAAGCTTTAACAAGAGGGGTCTCAGTAGCAATCGCTGGCTTCCTTTTCTAGCCCATATTTCACGCCATTCTTACAATTTTTAGGACTGAAAATGTAAATCAACCAGGTTGAGGTAAGGTCCATAAGGCTTCCTTAAAGTACTGGAAGAAGAACTCTGCTATTACAAGATAAAAAGTCTCTCTTTATCCTGGCTTTTAGAAGGCGTTCTTCACAGGCCCTCTGTCGGATCCCTTATCGTATGTGCTCAACCAGGACAAAGTAGGAACTGCAACATGGCTGCAAAGAATTTAAAAATCGGGCCCAGCGCGGTGGCGCAAGTGGTTAAGTCCTCGCCTTGCACGCCCGGGATCCCATATGGGCGCCGGTTCTAATCCCGGCAGCCCCGCTTCCCTTCCAGCTCCCTGCCTGTGGCCTGGGAAAGCAGTTGAGGACGGCCCAAAGCTTTGGGACCCTGCACCCGCGTGGGAGACCCGGAAGAGGCTCCTGGCTTCGGATCGGCATAGTATCGGCCCGTTGCGGCTCACTTGGGGAGTGAATCATCGGATGGAAGATCTTCCTCTCTGTCTCTCCTCTCTGTATATCCGCCTTTCCAATAAAAAATAATAAAAATAAATCTTTAAAAAAAAAAAAAAAAAAAAGAATTTAAAAATCAACCACGATTTCATGGAAGCCAAGCTTTACTTCAAACAAGCCTCAAAAAGTAAAATCTATGCAAGGACTTCCTAACTTCTGTGGGAATCTGAATTAAGAAGTAAATTTATTTTAGTGCAAAATAACTTTCAAATGTTCTCTTCAGAAGATAGACTTCTGAGAGCTTTCCGCAGAGGCCCATGGGCTCTCCTTGGCTGCTGTTTCCCAAAGCCCCCACTACCTTCCCCAGCACCAATCGGCCTGGCCATAATTCAGGCAGACTTACCTCCTTGCTTCTTGGATTTCTCTTTCATTTTCTTTGATTTAATTTCCTCAAGAGTTTTTATGCCAAAATTCAAACATTCACCTAAGAAGCCCAAATAAAAATTAAATAAAGAACAACAGCATTTTATCTGAATATACCAGACATTCAAGTATGTTTGCAATAAATAACTAAAACAAATTACGAATGCAGGCAGCACAGGGGGAGAGAAGGGAATTGTTAGTGACTGTGAACTAAGCTTCAAACAATTTGGACACTTTCAAGTATATATAAACATTCAGCACGCGCACAGTCCCCTGCTTACCTTGCTTTAAACTGGCCCCGGGTTTCCGGGTAGAAGCCACCCGTAATCCATTGTGGACTTCAGGAATTGGCTGCAGGGTGGGGGTCTTGGTTTCTTCACCCTCCTCAGAATATTGATCTGTTGGGTCAACATTTAAGACAAACCAGCAATTAAACATGGGTGTAGAGCTGAAATTCAATATTCTATTCAGCAAAGCTGACTATCCATTTGCTATAAAAAAACATCACTTGGGGCCTGGCATGGTAGCCTGGTGGCTAAAGTCCTCGCCTTGAACATGCCGGGATCTCATATGGGTGCTGGTTCATATCCCAGCTGCTCCACTCTTCTTCCAGCTACCAGCTTGGGGCCTGGAAGGTAGGGGAAGACGGCCCAAAGCCTTGAGACCCTGCACCCACATGGGAGACCCGGAAGAAGTTACTGACTTTGAATCGGCTCTGATTCAGTCACTGCAGCCAACTGGGAAATAATGAAAAAGCAAATGGAGGATCTCTTTATTTTCTCTGTAAATCTGGCTTCCCAATAAAGATAAATAAATAAATCTTAAAAAAAAAATCAGTTTTGGTTGGCACCATGGCACAACACACGTCGTCTCAGTCTGTGGTGCCAGCATTCCATACAGACCCCAAGTGAAGTTCTGGCTGCCCGGTTTCTGATTCAGCTCCCTGCTAAGGCCTGTGAACGCAGCAAAAGTGGCCCAAGTCTGGGCCCTGGCACCTATGTGGAAGACCTGAAAGAAGCTCCCAGCTTCCAGCTTTGGACTGGTCCAGAACAGCTGTGGCAGCCATTTAGGGAGTGAACCAGCAGACGGGAATGTCCTTCTCCTCTTATAACCCTGCTTTTCAAATAAATACAAATCTTAGAGCAGTAACAACTATCACTTACCATCATCATCTTCGTCATCATCTGCAGCATTGATTACAACTGGGGGATGTGTGGGGCTAGGAACGTTTTCGGAACTTTCTACTTTCATAACACTCCGCAGCTGAGGGCATGGGTTGGACTGGACGGGCAGTTTGCTCTGCTGAGATGTGAGCTGGCTAGTCTTCACTTCCTCTTCTGGAGACTCAGGCACAGTGGGCAAAACAGCTAAACATACAAAACCAGCACTGTTAACAACAGAAACTATAGTCCCAACTCAGAAAGCCCTGGCCTGCATTTCCCTAAGGCATCTGTGTCGTGCTATCAGTTTCAAGCTCTCGGAAAGGGAAAACACGTGGTTTCCTTAAAAGACATATTTATATGAAAAGCAGAATGACAGAGAAATCTACCCCAAATGGTTCACTTCCCAAATGGCTCCAAAAGAGGGCGCTGGGCAAGTCAGAAGCTGAAGCGTGTGGGTGATGTTGGCTCCATCGCTTTCTAGGCGCCATCAGCAAGGAGCTGGATCAGAGTGCAGCACTCACTCAAACCGACTTGGTGCTCACATGGCAAGCTGGTGTCACAGACACAGCCGTGGCTTGCACAATACTGCCCTAGAAATGTGCTTTTAACCACTCTTCATGGTGCAGAGAGACTCCAAGTGAGCATTCAAAACAGAATGAACACAGGCCAGATGTTTAGTATATATTTGCATAATCAAAACATTTCATCTTAGGTTTTATGCTTAGCAAAGACATAGCTTTTAAAAGATGGCAGTTGATAGCAGTGTTGCAGCACAGTGGAGTAAGCCATTGCTGTGACACCAGCATCCCTTAGCATAGTGCTGGAGTCCTAGCTTTTCCACCTTTGACCCAGCTTCTCATAAGCACACCTGAGAAAACACAGGACAACGCCCAGGTATCTGGGCCCAGCCCCTCACGGGGAGACTTCTGACAGTTTTAGTCTCCTGGCTTTGGCATGGCCAGCTGTGGCTCTTGCAGCTCTCTGGGGAGTGAGCCAGTAGATGAAAGGGTGCTGTCTCTGTATCTCTCTGATGATCACTCTGTCTTTCAAACAAAATCAATCTTAAAAAAAAGCACAGATGGGCTGGGCCCGATACCCTAGTGGCTAAAGTCCTTGCCTTGCATGCAACAGGATCCCATATGGACGGTGGTTCATGTCCTAGCTGTTCCAGTTCCCTTCCAGCTCCCTGCTTGTGGCCTGGGAAAGCAGCAGAGGATGATCCAAGTCCTTGGGACCCTGAACCCACACTGGAGACCAGGAAGAAGCTCCTGGTTCCAGATCAGCATCAGTATCTTAGGAATGGCTGTTGCAGTCATCTGGGGAATGAACCAGCAGGTGGAAAGACCTTTCTCTCCTTCTCTCCTTCTCTCCATAAATCTGTCAATTTTTTTTTTTTAATTTCCCTAACATCCCTAAAACAAAAACAAAAATAACAAAAAACAGATGAATAAGCAACAGAGCATTCCAATAAATCTTTTTTGTGAAACAGGAAGAAGACTGGATTTGCCAACTTCTGGGTTGTAGAAACAGTTTCTCTTGAAAATCTCCTAAGGGTCTCACAGGAAAATGGGAAATGAAGTTAAGCTGTGGTGATCTAAATGAAGCACCATCTAAGAAACCATTGGGGCCAGGCAGAGTAGCCTTGTGGCTAATGTCCTTGCCTTGCATGCGCTGGGATATCATATGGCAGGTTTGTATCACAGCTGCTCCACTTTCCTCTTGTGGCCTCGAAAAGTAGTGGAGGATGGCCAAAAGCCTTGGGACCCAGTATCCATGTGGGAGACCTGAAGGAAGCTCCTGGCTCCGCATTGGCTCAGCTCAGGCCATTGTGGCCACTTGGGGAGTGAACCACCAGATGGAAGATCTTTCTGTCAATCTTTCAAAAAAAACAACCTTGCATATACGGCCACATCCTAGCCCTTAACCTTCACGGGATCTAGTCCACCCCTGAAGTGCAGTTAACACTACTCTCACTGAACAGAAAGACAACAATATGTATAAAAGACTGTACAAAGCACAGCAAGAGGTTTTCAGTGAACACTCATCATTCTTCTAAAGTTCCAAACGAATCTCACTTTTGCTTGGAGGTAGGAAAAGGCCGTCAACATAACGTCCTCGGGTGTGATGGAAAGCACAGTTTAGTTTCTGACATCCCAATGGCTGGTTTTCCCAATAACAAGGAATTTCACTACGTTTTTTCTGTAAAAGAGAAGAGCATACTGTTTTCAAGAAATAGTTCCAAAATTCTAACAGCAATTCAAGCATACATCAGCACTAGAGTACATAAATACACTGAATTGCATTCACACAACAGAACATTCTTCAGTAATGAGAATCAAGTATTGCTATACTTAATATCATTTTTTAAAAGTATGAAAGATACCGCATCACATTCAAAAGATAGGCAGAATAGCTACTGTTGTTTTCTAGGTGGAAAGAACAACTTGTCAAACATTCCTTTCAACTTTCCTTGGTCCTGCACTGATCTTTGCCCAAGTTTTCACTTCATTAACTTCAAAATGAGCCCTCTATGCATTCACTGAATTTTAAGTCCCTCTGTGGTTGTCTCAGCAGGTAAAATAACTGGTCTGTAACTACCAGAAAAATTCCAAGGCCATTGGCAGCCAGACTGAGCAACTGTGCTCGGCTGAAGGCTCCTGGAGCATCCGACGACCAGCTGACACAGCACTGCAATCCAGACCTGCTGCTTTCACAGCCCAGTCTACTACGACTGGGTCAACCTGCCAACTTAAATGGGATCTGATGATTATATGGAGGTAATGTATCGGTGTTCATTTCTAATATTCTTATCATTTTTGCTTATTGTTGAGTTTGCTCCTTTTGTCATAGGGTAGGGCGGTATCAGTCATGCGGAGGTGGTGGAAACCCACCATTTCCTAATTTTGATGGTGTCTTATGACTGTGTATAGTCTTCATTTGTAGGAAATTCTCGAAGTGTTTGGAGGTGTTAGAGAATGGCAATAATTTATTTCCTAGTGACTCAGAAACTTTACACTGTTTACAACTTTTGAGCTTAGTTTTTAATAAGCAAATTCCCCCACATTCACATATAACATTTTCAACCTTAGCTATATCACCAAAATTTCCAGAAAAAAAAAAGCTAACAATTCAAGCTCCCTAAACTTACACATTAATAACACAGGAAATTTCTCTGTATCATTAAAAAAAAATCAACTTACATGCTATAACAAAACAAAGCATCACTTTTGCCCTACATCTTCTTCTTGGCCATCCATAACCCCAGGCTACTCATCATATTACATTATGACACAAGATGAAACCTACATCAATCTCCATGTGCCGAAACCTGCATACTTGTCGAAAACAGCGCCCTTCTTGCCATAAGGTGCAAACAGTTTCATTTCCTAGCGCGGCCTCACAGTGACGGAATGGGCAGCTATCACCCTGTAAACAAAGTGTGCATTCAGGTCAGAAAGAACTATACAGTCCTGAAACAGAAAAGGTCCCCAGGTTTCCTGGAATCTAGAAAAGCTTGAATTAGTGAGGAGCAAGGCAGGCAACAGGGGAGAAGGCTGATGGGGACACATTCCGACAGTCGTCGTCCTCTTGTCAGAGCTCTCTGCTCACACAACGTCAATGCCACAGACAGGCAAGAGTGAGACTAGCAGCTGTGTCAGGAATTATCTTCTTTTAAAGATTTATTTTACTTACTCAGAGAGAAAGAAAGAGACAGAAAGAAATCGCCTTTCTGCTGGTTTACTCCCCTAATGGTGCAAACTCATAAAATGTATTTTTAAAGAACACCTGAAGGGCGGAGGGGGGGGGGGTGTTGTAGAAAAGCAAGTCAAGCTGCTGACTCGCTGCCTGCAAGGCTGGCATCCCACTCTGAGTGTCAGTTCAGGTCCCAATGCTCTGCCACCTAGCCAGCTTGCCACTAACGCACCCGCAGAAACCTAGTAATGTCTCCCAGATTTGGATCCCTGTCACCACAGGGAGACACCCGGATAGCGTGCCTTGGCTCCAGGCCTCAAGACTGGTCTGGCCCCAGCTCCTGTAGCCATTTGAAAAAAAACTAAACAAGTAGATGAATATAAGTTATATAAGAATACAAGCATAATTAGCATACAATAATTACACTCTCTTAAATACCCTACACGTCAATACGTGAAACAAAATGCTGTTGTGCAAAGTGCTGATAAATGAAATTGCATCAGAGTTTTGATCAAAACTGACACAGAAAGATGATTTAAGATATTTTTATAAAATAACCACAGAATAGAAAGGTGTAACAACAACAAAAAACAGTAGATGTGTCTAAATAGAGAGGTAGACAAATGGGAAACTCTGATGCAGACAAAAGCAAAAAAGACGCAACAGCATATTCAGAAAGATGGCTTTATACGCTTGGCAAGAAAAGATCTGGGGGAACAGAGGGGCCAGATTCAATGCATTAACTACTCTACTCACCCAATTCAATAAAATTATATTAAATTAAAATTAGCAAGAGAGATGAAAGTGCCCCAATTTCCTAAGTGCTTAAACAGGTGAACTATAGGAAGCAAGGCACCCATGCTGACTATATGCCATGTTTTCACTTTTATAGAATACGAGGAAGTAAGAAAAAAAAAAAAAAGAACAAAATCTTATTCCTTTCTATTAAGGAAGCTGTAGGAAAAACAAACTGATTCACAGTTGCCAAATCTTACTTTGGTACATGTAGAATAGAAAAAAAAATAGCAATCTTCTCCTTGATTGGGCATGCTGGGTAAGTCCTCAGACCCCGAGCAGCTTCTTGAACAAGCCACGGCTTCCTCAAACAAGGACCAGCTCCAAGTCCTCGTACAATGGGGTTATTCTTCCGAATGAAAAGTCACTCACAGAAACCGTCTGTAAAATGAAATCCTAAAATGAGAAGACAATGAATTAAATTATTGCAGAAAAATCTTCCAACCTCCCCATCCGAATCAAATTTTAATTACACGAATGTTTTTCTGCCATAAACAGTCTTGTAAGCACACCTGACAAGGTAGCATTTTTGTTAAGTCATGTCATGTCTTCCTTTCTTTTCTGTTCTCTGGTGCTTGTGATCACTGCTTAAGCATAAAATACACACTGCTAATGAAACAAGCAACCTTCACCTCACATTACATTATTGAGACAGATTTGTTCATTCAAGCTACATGCTCAATCTACATTTCTGATTTTTAAAATCTAAATGAAAAAATTCAAAAGCTTTCAGATAAGCATTTCTGCTTTTTGAAAAGTATGACCTTATAATGAGGTGAGAAGTCCTTATCTGGATAGACCACTCATAAAGTACTTTTGGAAGTATCTGTAAAGCGAGCACGTTTAGATGAAGATGGCTCAAAAGCTGCATGCCAATCCCAAACAAGAAGCAGGATCAGTCTCCTGTTTTCTTCCATGAAACAGGAATTTAGCAAAACAACCAAAACTGTCTAGTCCTTGCCATATCTTGGTCCCCACACTTCAAAATTATCTAAAAAACCTTCTACAAAAGCAAAAACAGTAGCAAGAACACAGACAGAAATCAGAATGGGATTCTACAAACTTATACACCAAAAGATTATCTTTCAGAAACACTGATCTATAAGCTGAGATCACGGCAAATCCATCATCTTCTCACTAGCAATTCCTCACCGAAGAAGAGAATGCTAGGATGAGAACCAGCCTCCAGCTGTCAGCCTGCACTAGGCACAAAGAGCCTGCCCCTCAACCCGTACTCATGGTTTCAACACAATTCCATCTCTAAAACTGACCCTACCATACAAATCTTACGAATATTTAAGTTCACTATGCTCTTGCCTGTAGCAACGAAAGAACATCCTCAAAAACTGGAGACTGCTTAGCAGGATTGGGTACCAAAAGTGAATGCTTTAGGGGGAAAAAAACCCAAGAAATGTACAGTAGCTTTGGAACTGAGTCATGGGTAGAGCCTGCTTCCAAGAAAAAAATGCCAGAGGAAAGAGACACATTAAAGAAAGAACTATTAAGCAAAAATGAGACACAACGTGGAAAACTGGCAAAATTCTCAGCTTTTCCGTCTTCAGAAAAACCTGAAAAAGCAGATTCTATAGAGAATCCCAAGGATGTGACCAGAACAGCCTTGCTGAAGAGGTCAGATGTGTGGCTGCAGATCCAATCAACCATCCTAGCAAACATGACAGCCAGCCGGGTGACACTGTGAGCATCCCTTTGGAAGCGCCTGCATTCTACACTGGACTGTGTGGCTTAAGTCCTGGCTCCTCTGCCACCAACTCCAACTTCCTGCCAACACACCCCCGAGGACACGGATGACAGATCAAGTTCTTGGGTCCCTGTCACCACTCTAGCAGTCCTGGCTTTGCTGGGTTCCAGCCCTGACTGGTACAGGGATCTAGCAAGTGAATCAGCACATTAAAGGTTTTTGTCTCTCTCGCTCTGTCTTTAAAATTAGAGGAGAAAATGCTTCAAACTTGGATGGAAAGGGACAGATGTGTCCAGAGGGAAGACAACGTCTGAAGACACACAGTAAGACAGCCACGTACGTGGAGCAGGACTTCTGCAAGTCTAGGAATTGCCAGCAAACACCAGAAACTAGAAGAATCAAGAAAGGATACTTCCCCTGCCACGTTTTAGAGGGAACATGACCCTTCTGGCATTTTCAGAAAGGTGATTTCCAGAACTGTGACATGACAAATTTCTGTTGTCCTAAGCTACCCAGTAAATGATTCTATGCTATAGGAACTCTAGGAAATTAAACATATTACAAAGATGATCAAGTAATCTTTGACAAAGGAGAAAAGAAATTCAACAAATGGTATTGGAATAACTGCACATGCAGAGCAAAAACCATAAATCTAAACAAAGGCTTCTAGGTTTTTCAGAAGGTTTTTTTTTTATGCTTTTCACAAATGTTAAAATGGGTCACAGATCTAAATAAAAAAGCAAAACCGTAAAATTCTTCTGACACAAGAGATTAGGTGGGACCCGGGATTGGTGATGACTTTTTAGAATCAACACTGAAAACAAAATCCTTGAAAAAAACTGGTGCTCAGGGAGTTGGACTTCCCTGAGGCAGCAAATGCCAACTCCGTGAAAGCACAACCGCGAGCGTGAATAGGAGCCAATCACAGGCTAGGGGAACAAGTGTTCACAAAATACTTGCTTGGTAAGGATTAGTCTGCAAAATATACAAAGAACCCTGAAAACTCAACAAGAAAACAAAACACCCATGAAAAGATGCCCAATTTCATCTTATTAGGAGCTGCACATTCCTTTTAGAAATGCTAAAGTTGGGCCTGGAGGTGTGGCCTAGCCTTGAACGCACCGGGATCCCATACGGGTGCCGGTTCTAATCCCAGCTGCTCCACTTTCCATCCAGCTCCCTGCTTGTGGCCTGGGAAAGCAGTCGAGGATGGCCCAAGGCCTTGGGACCCTGCACCTGTGTGGGATACCCAGAAAAAGTTCCTGGATCCTGGCTTCGGACCAGCATAGCATCAGCCGTTGTCGCTCACTTGGGGAGTGAATCATTGGACAGAAGATCTTCCTCTCTCCCCCTCTCTGTATACCTGACTTTCCAATAAATAAATAAATCTTAAAAAAAAAAAAAAAGAAAAAAGAAATGCTCAAGTTCACAACAACAGTAAATGCTCGCAGAACAAGGGGAAGACACCTAGAATATACACCAAAATGTTAGCAAAGGTTACTGCCATGGTGCTAAGCATGGGACATGGATGCATCTCACACTGATCTACAAATAAGGCTCCCTTGACCTTGAACTGAGGGAATGCAGTCTTCATTCTAATGGATGCCAAAAGGCAATGCAAAAAACCAATTCATATGATTCTGTCTCTAAGGGATATCTAGATAATTACCATGGCATATACACAAAACGGAAAAGCATTAATCTGAGAATGAGAGGGAATAAAAGCCTTAGAGATGACTCTCACTCCTGAAAACAACATCCCAAAAACACATGAGACTGCTACTGGCTCCAGGAAGACCTTCAACAAGATAACCACATAGATAGGTAGCTATGAAATGGCAACCAAATACCAATTCTTTAGCAACTATTTTCTTTTTCCAAGATTGGTTTTTGAACACTTTTATTTAAAAGAAAGATTTACAAAGAGATTTTCCAACTGTGGTTCATTTCGCAGATGGCTGCAACAGCTGAAGCTTGTTTCAGCCCCTCACTTCCTCCCAAGGTTGCAGGGGCCCAAGGACTTCAGCCATCCTCTGTTGCTTTCCCAGGTCCTAAGCTTGGAGTTGGATCAAAAGTGGAACAGCTGGGACCAGCACCCATATGGCACGGTGCTGCTACAAAGGATTTGTCCAATATACCACCATGCAGACCCCTTAAGATTTACTTAAAAGGCAGAGTTAGACAGCAGGAGACAAGAGATCTTCCATCCACTTGCTCACTCCCTGAAAGGCCATGAATGCCAGCACTGGGCCAGGTAAACCAGGAACAAGGAAGTCCTCTGAGGCCTTCCACAGGGATGGCAAGTGTCCCAAGTACTTAAGCCACCCTCACTGCTCTCCGAGGCACATTAGCAAGAAGCTGGATTGGAAACAGAGCAGCTGGGATTTGAATCAACACTCATACAGGATGCTGGCATTGCACTGGGAGCGACATCACCACCTGGACACTCATTCACAAACTGAAGTTTGCAGAGCCTTCTCAGAGTGAGGCAGATAACGATGGGCACCCTTTCACTAATGTCTCCACAGAAAAGCTCCTTTATAGAATTAATTTACACATTGAGTTTTTGTAACTTTCACTAGGAAAAAAAATGTTATTAAACAAAAACGGTTATTTGAAAGTAGGAGGCTGGGTGCAGTGTAATGAATGGCTCAACGGTTAAATCCTCTTCTTACAAGCACCAAGATCCCATATGGGCGCCAGTTAATGTCCCAGCTGCTCCACTTCCCTTCCAGCTCCCTGCTTGTGGCCTGGGAAAGCAGTCGAGGACGGCCCAAAGCCTTGGGACCCTGCACCCGTGTGGGAGACCCAGAAGAGGTTCCTGTCTCTTGGCTTTGCATGTGCTCAGCTCTGGCCGTTGTGGCCACTTGAGTGAACCACTAGACAGAGGATCTGTCTGTCTCTCCCTCTCTCTGTAAATCTACGTTTACAATAAAAATAAATATTAAGAAGAAAGGGAGAAGGGAAAGGAAAAAAGAAAAGAGCAAGGGAGCCAAGGTGAGTAACTGCATTTATTCGATCAAAGTACTAAGAAAATGGGGGGAAAAATTTAAAGACTTATCTATTTGAAATGCAGAATGACAAAGAGAGAATGACATCTACCCACTAGTTCAACTCTTCAATGGCCCAAGGGCCAGGCCAAAGTCGAAAATTTTCATCCAGTCTCCCTTAGATAGCTTTCTCAGGCACAGTAGCAGGTAGCTGGATGGGAAGCATAGGACTCAGGAACTAACCACCTAGTACTGCAAGTTGGATGCCAGCACACAAGGGTTGGATTAACTTGGGCCCAGTGGTGTGGCCTAGTGGCTTAGGTCCTCGCCTTGCACGCCCGGGATCCCATATAGGCGCAGGTTCTAATCCCGACAGCTCCACTTCCCTTCCCTTCCAGCTCCCTGCTTGTGGCCTGGGAAAGCAGTCAAGGACAGCCCAAAGCTTTGGGACCCTGCACCCGTGTGGGAGACCCAGAAGAAGTTGCTGGATCCTAGCTTCGGGGATTGGCACAGCATCAGCCGTTGCACTCACTTGGGGAGTGAATCATCGGACAGAAGATCTTCCTCTCTGTCTCTCCTTCTCTCTGTATATCTGACTTTCCAATAAATAAATAAATCTTAAATGAATATGATAAATAAATAAAGGGTTGGATTAACTTGCTGAGCCACAATATCGGTCCCAGAACAAATTCTTTTAACATGTTCATATACTTTAGCAAGCTTTAAAGTATATACACACCCCATTGCCATTGCTGCCACCATGAGCGCACAGGGGAGGGTGTGCACCGCTAGGAGCTGGAGAACCAGGGAAAGGTAGGAATGTGGGCCACTGTATCCTCAAGCAGCTATATCCGTCCCTGGGCACAGTGTGACAGCAAGAAGCAGCCCATCCCCCCTCCCTTGCCTCCTCTCCTCCCTGGACAAAGGAAGCAGCACTGATCTCACTCACCTTCCCCATATGCAACCTCTACATCCTAATCAGAACTAGAGGCCCACATGGGTCTCTTACCCTCCCACCTTTGTAATAAATATTAAAATTAAACTAAAAAAACACAGATATACAAAAAGCAGTAAGTACCCACTATACCAATAGCCATCATTCAAATGATAAGTCTCATTCAAAATAAAACTAGAAAACACAGGAAGAAAACAAAGTATTTAAGAGACACATTTAGAAACAAAAGCAAAAAAAACCCCACGAAGTTCTTAAGGCACGGAAGACCTGGATGACAGATACAAAAACAAATCAGAGTATTAAAGCAGTTTCAGGGGGAATACCTCAAAGTTTTTTGGGGGATCTCCCCAATCGAAATGCTGGACTCAGAACCCTAACCAAGAAAGGACAGAAGACAGAACAAGTCAATCAACCACCTCAGCTATATGTTGGCAGCGAAATACGGGGCACATGGAGACTCTATGATGGACTATGTCAATCAGTGGATTCTTCAATGACCTCATTGTGCTTGGAGTGGCGAGACTGGCAGCGATTCATAACTGGTGAAGTATCAAAACCACTTGAGCAAGTATCTCAGAGCATGCCCCACATCCGGGAATTGGGGTGGGTGGAAAATTGGGTGGGGCTTTTCCCTCAATATCCCCCTCTTTACCTCAGATACATGAAGGAAACAATATGGAAATAATAGTCTTACCCACTTCCCTATAGCCCTTGAACCTTTTTACCCTAATTAACTATGTAAAGATTGTCAAAAGTATAATAAAAAAATTTTTTTAAAAAGTACAGAAACACACACACACAAACACAAAAACCAGTTTCAGGGAAATACACAGATCAGTAGGATTCAAGCGGAATAAAAGCAGGGCTTGTAAAGAATGGTTCACTCACAAGGCAGACTCAAAAGTCACAACTGTACTCAGGGGAAAGGCAAAAGCCCACTGACAAGTCTCCCTGCCCGTGGGAGGAAGAGGAACACGCCATGTCTCCAATTACCCAAGCACTGGGAGAAAGCGCATGAGCACAGAGTGAAGATCTTTCCCATCCTAACAATGCTCAAAATAACCACAGAAATAAAGTGATGGATATGTAAGATGAAAAACACTGACACAGCAAAACATGTATAAGCAACAGGGTCCAAGGCAACTGTTCACTTACGGGGCACATCAAGAGCTTCCACAATTCCAGAGACCTCACTAGATGTTCAGTAAAAATGGTACAACCTTTTTATAGCTTAATACATAACAGAGATACAAATTAACACCCAAGAACTAGTTCTGAGGTAGCAGAGTTCAACACAGATGTGTGCTGAAGGTTGTTAGTGCAGAGGGAACTCCTTCTGCCTGCAATGTGACAAACTGAGTAGCACCCAAGGCTGGGTTTAGTTCTGCTACATCTGTAATACAACGGAACATGTGTCTTCACTCAGAGATGAGGCAGAGCCAGGCGGCTGGACAGTGTGGGTCTCACTGGAGGCATAATTACAGGGAGGCTGCACCTTGGGTATACTGTTCTCTTTTTAATAGTATGCATATATAATCCTAAAAGGAAGGAGAAAAATCTAAAATCCTGTAAACAATCACAAGAAAAAAAAATGGATAACACCTCTAAATTTTTTACTGATCCAGGAAAATTATGCATCTAATCACCAAAAAAAAAAAAGAAAAAAAATTAAAAAACAAAAATCAAGCCACTCTTTTAATGATAAAGGATCCCACTTACATTAGCTGGTTGCTCTCAACAGGCACGTCTGTGTCTTCACTGAGTTCCAATCTATTACTCCTGTAGGTCGAACCAACACTCAATCCATGAATTAATAACAATGAGGCAAAGAATTTTCCTCCTCACATTGCCAAGGAAACCTCTCCTCCACAAATGAAACACAGGATGTGTTTTTAAAACATCTCCCAACTACTGGGAGATTAAGTCCATTCAAACAGCCTTTGTCAGACTGGAGACACTAGGGTTAGTTATCTCCTCAAAAACAAAAACAAAAACAAACAAAAAAAGAGTTCATTTAAGGATGAACTTGAGATTAAAATTTAAATATATATATATTTTTAAAAATCCATCTTCTGTAGCCGAACAATGTAATTTAAAAAGGAAAAAGAAAAAAAAAAAAAGAAAAAAGAGAAAGCACACCAAAATTCAATAAGATCCAATTTCTGGTCTTCAAGATTTCTTCACCTATTAAGAAAAAAACAGAAACCTTCCCCCATCTTTATTATCTGTATAATAAAAGCATAATTGTATGTAAAAATAAAGTGTTATATGTATAAAATATACATAGACATAAAAACTAACTGGCTTATACACACACATACATATACACAATGGTGTAGAAACAAAACATTTGGGTAAGTTTCCCCTTTTAAAATACACTACAAAAGTCTTTGGATTTGGGTTCATTATAAAAATAGTGAACTTACACCAAAGCACCATGAAGTTAATGTCATATTGAATTTTGGAAAGCCCACAAAATTAAGGTAAAGGGAAATCCCTCTACATATTCTGAGGTGTATAATATAGATATACGAATATCATCATCATCATCAGGGAGTGTTTAACCAGAACAGATAGAACCGTACAGTTACGGAGTAACTGCAGAGTGGTGCAGCAAGCTGCAGGAGACAGAGCAGCGTCACAGCCATTCTCAACCGGCACTGTCCACACGCAGGGGGCGGCTGGGGAGGGTCGGGGAGGGCAGCTCTCCTCTTCTGTATCAACACCAGCGTGTCACTGGCGTGACACCGTGGGTCGGCCCTGCCAAGGCCTGCGTATGCGGTCTAGTTCCAAATCCTTTTCTAGTGATGGCTACAGCTGAACACTTGGTAATTATCCATTTATTTTAGTTAGTAAAAGGGTAAACTTCTGGGAACTGAAATTTTGTTTCACAATGGTACAGTTACCATTTAAGAAATTTTAAAAGACAAAACTAAAAAAACAAAAAAAACAAAAAAAAAGTTTTTTGATACATGAGTTCTAAGTTTTTGAAAACAGCCCAGAAACAAAGCAATTTTGACTCTTACAAAATAAATACTACATCATCTCTAAGCTAAATCTTGCCAAATACTATCCAAGACAAAACTAAAACCAAAACTTAAAAAAAGTGGACACCTTTTACTCACACTTAATACTAGTCAATTTTCCAGGAATTTTTTGGGCAGGGAATATTCCCAAATCTAAAATGAAAAAAAGGAAAAATTGGGATCTTACATTAGTTATTCGGTCTGAAACTTTGAATAGACTTCACTAAAAAGTCACTATTTTCCAGCCTCCCACTCAATCACTGACAAATAGTTGCAGAGTGGAAAGGAAGCTTCAAGATCCCTGAGCCGAGCTCACCTATTCCTTCTGTGCCTCTCAAGGAGTCCTGCCTGCTGGCTATCAGGTCAAACCATCTCACTACGGATTACTCAGGTTTGTAAAAGATCATCTACAATTAGAGACATTCTTTGGGAAATGCTTACTGGTTGGTCACAGTATGCTACAAGGCTTTCCTTCAAACTGCCATTCAAATCGTACAAACTGTTATTTTATTTACCCGTAAAATATGTAAAATACCTATAAAACATTTTATTGTCTTCATACTATGGTGGTAAACGCTTAAAAAAAAAGGCAATTCAAATGCAAAAAATATTTTTTTCCTAACTGGTTTCTATTTTCCTTTTCCACAGATCCAATCCTAAACTTAAAGGGTAACTACTATCACATTCAGTAATCTGAAAGCATGAAACTGACCAGTATGAGGAGGCAATTGTAAATACCCAATTATAAAATAATCTTGTAGATTTTACTTTTGCCAAGTTACAAGGATCAAGGTTTTTAAAGAAAGAAAATTATGGATGGGGGGAGGGAGCAGATAATTCCATCTTAGTAGGCTTTTTTCTCATTTTCTTGGTTTCTGAATAATCAAACTTCCCATATAGGGGAAATTCTTACTTAAAACCAATTACCAGTTCAATCCACCAGCCAGAAACAGCCTAAGGCTTTTCAATGCTGCACTATATTTTTTAATTAAAAAATATATACTTTCTCTCCCAATTAATGTAAAAATTTCAAGTGCTAACTACACTAGATCACAACTGTGAAGTTTTTAAAACTAATCTTTATTTTGTCGGCATCATCTTGCCTCCGAGGAATTCTCTCGGGCTTCCTCGCATTTGTTTTATAAAGTTATTAGCATGTCTATATAGAACAGTATGGATATGGTAACATCAAGGAGCTGCCATTTTAAATGGAGTAAAGGGAAAAAATTAAGGTAATATTTCTTTTTCACTGCTTTGAACAGCTTCATTCTGAGAATCCCAACTCAGAACCAACGTAGAATAATCATAGTTAACATTTTTCAAGTTCATTTTCAGAAACATCAGCTGTTCTATATTGTCAAAGTCCAGGCTCATGATCTGCTTTGGATGAAAGTGGCTATTTGTAGTAAAGATACATTCAGACTGCCAACTACACATGGGACAACTTAGATACTGAATGGCAACTTGGCTCAAAGCTGGCCAGACGCTCACCTTCCCCTGCCAGTAAACCAAAGGGTCATCCCCGCAGGAGAGCTCAGAATACTTCTCTTTGAAGTACTCCTCCACTATGGCTATGGCAGAAGGCAACATGAAACTTTTGTTTCCAATGGCAACATTGTCTGTAGCTAAGCTACCAATGGGAAGGGAACTGGAAGCACCTTTTACAGAGGAGGCAAAGCACTCGCCTCCTGCTGTAACTAACGGACCAGACCCTTCTGAACCTGCAACCTGGCAGACCTCTGGTGAAGATGCCATGTAATTACAAACCTCTTCTGCAAGGATTTGTTTGTAAGTTTCTAAATCAGCACCTTGAGGGAAAAAGTCTTCCAAGCTGTTTTTAAAGCAAGGATCTAACAAAGTAGCCAAGATATAGGGCTTGGACTTGAGCATGGCACTTAGCAGGGTGTCAGTTTCAAGTTTCAGAGACAGACTGTCCACCAGACTGAGAGCCTGACTGATACCCCTGACTTGAAAATCTCCTCTGAGTTTCCGCAAGGAAAGAAGCAGATGGTGGATTAAGGGCAGCACCTGATTCAATCCTGTCACCTTCACACTCACTTTCTGAGTGGCTTCCTCAAACGGCTTAAGAATATCATAAACGTAAGTCATTAGGGTCCACTGAAGGGACGTCAGTACAACTCCACTGGCTCTACCAAGACTATGGTGAACAGAGTAGCAATGCTCCAACAGCCACTTCAGCATGTAAAAGGTAGAAATCCAATGGCCAGCTTCATCCTGCTTCAAATTCTTCCATGGAAGTTGGTGATCATTTTGGAACTCTTGCAGTATCTGACGGGCCTTGATGGAATGGGTAAAATGATGACATGTTTTCCTAGCAGCCACTAACATATTCTCAATGCTTTTGTGCTCACAGAAAAAGTCCTGAATGACTATATTCAAACAATGTAGGAAGCACGGCACGTGGGTAAACCCACCATCTTTGATTGCATGTACCACACTTGAGGAATTGTCAGAAACAATGAAGCCAGGGGCAAGGAAATTAGGAGAAAGCCACAGACCAATCTGGTCATTCAATTCTTGTAAAATGTTGGTTATCAAACAGTCTTTGGCTAAACCTGTAACACAAAGCACTGCCCACTTTCTAAAATTGGGGATCCTGCCATGATTGGGAGAGGCGGCAGTTTCCAAAGAGACCCAGTGCACAGTCACAATGAAATAGTCAGTGGATGGGTCATGGGTCCACAGGTCAACAGTCAAGTGGATCTTCTGGCTTTGGACATTCTCTAGGGTCAAGAAAATTTTTTCTCTGACGGAATCATACAACTGAGGTACAGCCTGGGTGAAAAAGTAAGTCTCTGATGGCAACCTGTAGTCAGGGGCCACAAGCTGCAAGAACCTCTGAAAGGCGGGAGTGCAGAAGTAGCTGTAAGGGTGCAGATCCTCCACGATCATCTGGATGACCGCCTGGCTTATTTGACGGGGGCCTGGGTTGGCAGCACCTGCTGTCTGCTTCTCCTGCATCTGTATCACTGGGACTGATTCCACCACAGCAACAGGACTCTCGGCTCTGTTCTCAGCCTCCAACACTGGAGGCTCATCGATGTCAGAGTCGCTGAGGTCTTCGGCTGTTAGGTCCTGGCTGCCGGTGGACTTCTCCCCTTGGACGGTATCACTCAGGATGTCACTGCTCTCGGTCTCGGCCTCATCCGAGCCATTTCCGGCAGCGCCACTGTCTTTGTTGGCAACAGCCCAATGGATGGGATGTGTGGCCTGCAGGTGTCTCTGAAGGGTTGACGTTCCTAAGTGGGAGCCTGGTCTCCCACGGCTCACACTCCTTTTGCATATGTTACACACAGCTCTTGAAATGTGCTGGGGATCCGTGTAAAAAAAATTCCACACTGCTGATGTCTTGGCCCTCGTTCCGGGAATTAAGGCATGCTTGACAAGATTACTTTTGATCAGAAATCTCCCTCTCTCTGCCCTCAGGGCATCAGATGCCGATTTACCACGTTTCTCACCCATTCTGCTATCATCTAATGGGTCAGTGGAAATATAGTCAAAGCTTGCATTGCTTCCAGGAGAAGAGGGAGACAGAGACACATCCAAGCTGAAGTCCTCCTCCCCACTGGTGACCCCGAATTTGTTGGCCCTGGTCCAGTGAGGCGAATGCCGTGCCTGTAGATGCCTCTGGAGAGTGGAGGTGCCGAGATGGCTGCCTGGCTTACCCCTGCTGACACTTTTCTCACAAAGGTTGCAAATAGCCCGCCAGGTATACTGGGGGTCCACATGGAAGAAGTGCCACACAATGGAAGTCTTGGCTCTGGTACTTGGGAGGTAAATCTGCTTCTCTATGCCATTCTCAAAAAGGCCTTCTTCCTCCTGCCCAGGGGCACTGGAGGCCAGCAAGGCAGGGCTGTCTGCCTCGGGCCTCCCAGACCCCAAGTCCTTACTGAACTTCTTGGCTAAGATCAGCTTCTTTCGGCGCCTTTTCCCCTTAATGCGCAAACCCTTCTTTTTCTTCTTTTTACCAGGCAGTTTTGCCTCTCTATCCACTGCCTCTGCCACCATTTTTTTCCCTTTACCAAGGTGTCTTCATCTGCATTAGAATGAATCAAAACACATCCCAAAATTCCAGCACCACTAAAAGTCCTGCTTTTTCTACCCCGGGAGAGTGAGGAAACTGACACACAAGCCCATTCTCTGTGTCTCCAAATCGCATTCCAGGACTGGCCGGTGGGTCCACTACTCAAGTTGACACACAGCTGCACAGTACCTCATCTCCAGTTTCCACAGGGAGTCAAATTCCCTGTGGGCCAGTGACTTCCATGCCAGGTTATTTTTGGAGGACAATGACAGCAACAGAGAATATTCCCAAACTCTTTCTTAAAGCGTTCTGAGATCCCTTCCAACTTCCTGTGTTCCGAATTCAAGGAAAAAAAAAAAAAAAGAAAGAAAAAAATCCACCTGGAGTCCACTTCTCCACAGTCACAGAGTTGGTCAAGCCAGCTCTCCCAAATCCACGTCCATGCTCCTTCTCTTTATCAAGTACTGTTTCAAATGCCTGCTTTCAAAATATATATTTTCACAATGCCTCACGATAGCAGCATCGATTTCCCCTTAATTCTGCAGTTACTTTCAGGAAATGGCATTTCAGAAAAAACATAGTGCATCATTCAGCATTCATCAGAGGACTGCGATTTGCCAATGAACCCAAGAAGGCAATTATAGAAAGTTAAATTAAGACTCCACATACTGGTCATTTACAACAACTGCAAACTGAGCCCTTTGGCTATAACTAAAAGTGTCACCATTTTGAAGAAGAAAAAAAAAAAAAACGTGGGTAGATGGGGAAAAAGCTGTGATAATACACCAGAGCTGCGCTTCCGATTCGCTGTTGGTCTCCAGAATTCCCACGTTTAGCTTTCGGGTGTGTTTAGATGGGAGCAGCGTGACAGCCGGGAATGGGTGACTCACCCCTCAAAGGGGCGCTGGAGACCTCTTCCATCCCTTTGGCGAGGATCCCACCCCCTTCCCGGCGAACACATACCCTAAAAAAGCATCGTTACCCCAACTTCCACGGCCTCCTCCTCAAGCTCCACGAAGGCCCGGAAGATGTCAAGCATAATAAAGGACTTCCCCATGGGAACGCGCACCGAGTGTGGGGGTTCAGGGGACGTACTTCCTCAGGATTTCACCGATCCCACAAGGAGAACGGAAGTGTGCCTGCAGCTCGGGCCGGGGTGCGAGTAGGGAATGGGCGGAGGAGACCGGGATAAACTCGGTGGTTTTCTGTGTGTGGAGTTGGAGGAAAAAACCTCCAAAACATCGGGGACCCTGGAGAGAAAGGGGAGTGTAGGAAGCCTGGGGGCGGCTAACCCAGACACGGGGCGCCCCGCAGAAGAGCCGCTCGCTCCTGCCGGGGTCCCGGGTGCGCCGACAGCGGATGTGGGGGAGGGGAGCAGGCGCCGAGGGGAAGCGAGGTGGGGGCGGGGTGCACCGAGAAGGGAGCGGGAGCCCGCGGCTCCCGGCCCGCCGCGGCCGGGGGTGGGGGAGCGGTCGTCGCGGCGGGGCTCGGGGACCCCGCTCGGACTAGACCGGCTAGGCCGCAACCCAGGGGCGAGGGGAGGCCGCGGCCACTCCCCTCGCCCTCTCCCCCACCTCCCCGGCCCCAAGCCGCCCGGGAATAAAAATAACGGGTCTAGTTACCAGAGAACAGAAACTTTACCGAACCGGTGACACTATCCCCGACTCCAGTTTGCTGCCACGTCTCTTCTTCTTTAAGCGCTGCCGCCCGCCGTCCTTCCAGCAGCAGAACAAGCACAAATCCCAAGATTGCCAGCGTCAAAGATGGCGCCCGGCTACAGGCTCGAATCTAAGGCCCGGCCAGGGCAAGTGCCAGCGCGACGGCGCGCGCGGCGCTCCTGGGAGTTGTAGTTCCTCTGAGGCCCGAGGCCTAAGATGGCTTCCCGGGTCACGGGGTCACGTGAGGGGTGCTCTGAGGGAGTTGTGCGGTTCTGGAGATTGCTTTGGGCCTCGCCCTGCCTTTGTTTTTGTTCGTAAATCAGATAAAGCGGTGAGAGAGGCAGCTTCCAGAACTGTATTTGAGTATATCGTCCATCGTCCAAACCGTATATAATTTAGAAAGAAACTGTACTTTCCCTGTGCGGAAGGATTTGTGAAATGGAGCAGGGCCGAGCTAAAAAATACAAAGTGTGACTGCTGGCAGAATAACTCCTGCTCATTAGAAAGTTCACGAGGACTGGGAGGTGTGAAAGTTAAAACAGCGGCGGTGGCCTCTCAGTATTCATACCTCGTGTTTCTCCGTGTTGGACGATTTCACTACCTATTTTCCTAATTATAAAACGCGCACGGGGCGGTGCCAAAGCCTAGTGGCTATATCCTCTCCCTGCAGGGCCAGGACCTGATATGGGTGCTGCTTTGTGTCCCAGTTGCTCCACTTCCCACAAGCTTTCTGCTTGTGGCCCAAAGCCTTGGGACCCTGCACCCATTTGGAGACCCGTAAGAGCCTCCTGACTCCTGGTTTCAGCTCAGCTCAGGCTATTGCAGTAACTTGGGGAGGGAACCAGCATATGGAAGATCTGTTTGTCTGTCTCTCCTCATCTTTGTAAATTTTCCTTTCCAATAAAAACAAATCTTAAAATATATATACATATGATTTGCAGAGGATTTAAATAATTCACAAATACAAAAAATAATAATAATAATAAAATAATTCACAAATACATAGAGCAGAGAGCCTATAGTAAATTCCAATCCTCCCTTAGAGACAGATCCTTTCTAAGTATCTTTTTTTTTTAATTAAGATTTACTTATTTTTATTGGAAAGTAAGGTATGCAGGGAGGAAGAGAGACAGAGAGGAAGATCTTCCATCTGACGGTTCACTTCCCAAGCGGCCACGAAGGCGGAGATGAGCCAATCCGGAGCCAGGAGCCAGGAACTTCCAAGTCTCCCACGCGGGTCCAGGGTCCCAAGGCTTTGGGCTTTGGGAAGCAGGGCTGCTGGGATGAGAACTGATGCCCGTATGGGATTCTGGCACTTTCAAGGCGAGGACTTCAGCCATTAGGCTACTGTGTCAGGCCGTGGACACTGGTTCTAATCCTAGCAGCTCTACTTCCCATCCAGCTCCCTGCTTAGCGCCTGGGAAAGCAGTGGAGGATGGCCCAACCTTGGGACCCTGCACCCGCGTGGGAGACCTGGAAGTTCCTGGCTCCCGGCTCCGGATTGGCTCATCTCCGCCTTCGTGACCATTTGGGAAGTGAACCGTCAGATGGAAGATCTTTCTGTCTCCCCTCCTCTCTGTATATCCAACTGTCCAATAAAAACAAATAAATCCTAAAGAAAAAAAATTTGCTTACACAAAATAATAATGAAAGAACCGGTGTTCATATGGGATCCCAGTGTGTGCAAGGTGAGGACTTTAGCAGCTTCACTATCTTGTCAGACATCCTTTCTAAGTTTTTTTTATACAAAATACACCTAGTTTTATCCAGTGCAGCAGGAGTCCAACAGCCATGGACTAGCAGCTGCAGAACCAGCTGACCTGGCACCATTTCCCCTAGCATGGATCAAGGACCCAAAGGCATGAGGCGCCAGGTCCCTTGGGTGTGTGTGCAGCTACCAGCTGGGTGTGTGGAGTTTGAGTTCACTTCAGTGTGAGAAGCCACACTGGAATCCCAGGTGCCATGCCTGCTTTAAGACAGTGCTCTGTGACTGCCACTTCAACCAGATCTAGCAAGCAGCCTTCTGGCAACCTGCTCCCAAGGTGGATCACAGCACCTACAGGTTGTGAAGAGGATCCTGCAGGGCCCTCAAAATGCTGGGGTGAGGTGGGGGAGTTGCCAGCCTAGGGCTTTCCAAGTTGCAGTCCTGGCCTGAAGGGGGTGCTGTTTGTAGTTCTATTTTGTTAAATCTGAAGTGTTATTGACTTTTGTAAGCTAACACTTTTTTTTACAGACCTGGGGCTGGGGTGGGGAAACCTGCAGTTAAACCACCATAGGCCATTGATTAGAGATTGTTGCTGGAGCAAGAGAGACCATGTCTACGATGTATTAAGGAGACTTTATTAGCCAAGCTTGGTAAAGGCAGTGCCCACTAGAAATTAGCAAATGAAGTCACCGTGGCAATCAGGGCTGAGTAGAAACCCAGAGAGGATCAAATGGTCATTACCATGAAATCCATCTGTTAAACTGAAGAGCTATGTTCTGGCTTCCCCAGCTATATAAATTATCCTAAGAGACTGGCAGCAAACAACCTTGGAGAGACCATCTAGGCCTGCTGAGGTCTTGGCCACAGCTTCCGGTGGGCGGTACAGCACTGTCCACCCATTTCCTAACTGGTGAAGAGAACACCAAGGGAGAACATCTTGCCTGTAGGTTCCTGCCCAACAACGAGGGGTCAGGGAATGCTGAAAACTCCAAGACCCTTCCTCAAAACTTTGGTGTCTCCCTCCCCTTTCGAAAGGCACCCCACCTCCTGGCTTTCTCTCAGGAAGTACTTTCCCCTTCTCCCTCCCTTCCCTGCTGACCTGGTCCCTTCGCAAACAAACTTCTCTGTCTGTAACAGATTCCCAGTTTTTTATTTCTATACTAAGTTGAGGAAAGAACCCGCCGGGCTTTCTGGTAACACTGGGCACACTTACAAACCCCTGCTCACTCACTTTTTCCTGGCTTCTCTGTCTATATTCCATTACTTCTAGAACTCTCCTGGAACTCTCAAAAGTATACAAATCAGAAACGCAAAGCATCTTAGCATTGCTGCCTTCACTATCCCGCCCGAACAGTGAACAGAGGGTGAGGAATACAGACACACAGGGGCCGTACTCAGGGGATACCTGTCCTCGGAGTCTGTCCGCAGGAAGCCAGAGAGCAAGCAGCTGCTGGGGAGGCCAAGAGTAAGAGCGCAAGAGAGACTGAAGCCTGCAACCAAGAAAGCCAGCGGCTGCCCGGCACCGGCCTTTATAGGGGCTTGTCAGGGGCGTGGTTATGCAGTCAGTGCCGCCCTTCTCAGGTTCCAGGTGATGACAGGTGAGCATCACAGGTGGGCAGAGAGAACAATGTGGGTGGGAAAGGTGTGGCTTCTAAGCTTGTCACCCCGAACTAGCAGCACATAGGATTATAAAACTAAGAATAGGCTCATTTAGGGAGTGAACCTGTAGATGAAAGATTTTTCTTTCTCTGACTCTCCTTCTCTCTCTGAAATATCTGGCTTTTAGATAAAAATACATTAATTTTAAAAGGAAAAAAGAACAGAC